CGTTCGACTTCCGGCTGCCGTTTCTAAGATAAAGTTATTACCATTGCAACTATAATTCCGATCTAGTCCTCTTCAGAACAAGTCCGCTGCACTCTGCAAGGATTCATCGAGCGTGGCGATTGCCAAGCCGCATGTTGACCATAGGCTTCCACAATCCAGCGATTTTCTGGACCCACCTGTCCAGGCTCAGAGATCCGCCGACCCTGCCCGTGGGCCCTTCCTTCAGCCTGCCTCCCCAGCCTCATCCGGCCCTTGCCTGTCCCTGGTCCCAGCCATCACAAGAACAACAGCAGCAGCGCCTAAACCCACCTAAACCCTAAACCCTAATCCGAGCAAACGATGCAAACAGGAGTTACAAAGACATGATCGACGTCCCGAAGAGTATAGGGCCCGGCACCTGGAAGAGAAGTTCGCGACCGCCAGAGCCAGCAGATTCCTTGAAAGCTCAGGGAGATGATAGGATTTGGGCATGCTTTCTGGGACGCTTTCGTTGCCAGGGTGCGAGGTTGATCTGGGCACAGAGCTCCGTGGCCCAAGGATGGGAAGTCACGAAGCCATGCGCAGCGGGCAGGATGAATTCCTTCCGTGACATCAAGAAACCCTCTGTCTCAGCTCCTTGGCGTCTGCACGCTACGCACAGGCCGCCACAGAGAGGCTCACAGCCTCAGTCGGCGCTGCACCACAAACTATCGGCAGCACCGAAGCCAACTTGACGCAAGTCGGACAGCAGGGTTTACCATAGATTTAGCTCCGCTATTATTATCATTGCTTGTTGGCCCATGGTCCTCGCCACCGTTGAAGTTAAAGACGACATCAACGTCAAGAGGGTCGTGCAGGAACAGCCGCAGCAGCTCGGTCATGATGGCGATCTCTGCGTTCGCATCCGACGTTGCCACAGATCCAATGGCCGAGTCGAAGTGAGAAGATATCAGCAAAGCACAGGTCGCGTTTGGTCTCCGGCCACGGACCCGCGCGACCACGTTCGTGAGATTTCGATAGGCCACAGTGAAGCCTCCAATGAAGTCTAAGAAGAAATGACCGGAAGCGGACTGCGTCTCCAATGTCAGCCTTGACTCTCGGCCTTCGGCAGATTTCGCAATCCTCAAGAAAATTCAGAAGACTCAACGAAAGAGAGCGCTCCACTGCAACCACAAAGGCTTTGGGGACGGCTGCGGCTTACGGATTTGACCTTGACATAGGAACAATGCCCATCCATCCGGGAGTCTGCCGCAGGACTGCCTGAACGGCACAGACCTCGTTGCCACTTGCACCAACGTACTTGGGCCCGCAGGCTTCCAGCTCGTGCAGGACCTTGGTTTCCAGAATATTTCCATAATATTTCGTTGCAATTGTGCGTCGATTGCGTCCGGGGGGGCGGGGGGCTGGACGCACGAAATTGCAGGCAACCTCTAAGCTCAGGCCGGCAACATCTCGTGTCCGGTCGGCGCTGAAGCCATCCGAAAGTGGTGAGTCCGCCGGGACAATACGGGGCACCTCGACTGACATTGCAGCTGGAGCTTGAACTCTCAATCTCGCCACGAAATAAATTTCTCTAGCAGTTCCGCTGCTCTTTTTGCCAGACTAGTCGCAGCCCACTGCTCCGACAAGACGAAGGTCATCAAGACGCTGAAGGAGATCAGCGCCAGCCAGGACGTCAGCTGGTCACCCGCCCTTGGCTGAGAACCGCTTGCTGCACCTCAGCGGAGGAACTGCGAACAGAGCGGCACAACCATCCGAAACCGCGCACTCCGCAGAGACGAATTGCCGGGCCTGCATGGCAAACAGTCCGGCCCGGCATCTCCGTCGGCTGAGCAGCCGCCTTGGAGAGAAGAGAACGCCTTCGCCTGCACCTGTCTCTGCGCCTGGGGCCCTAATGGGCCCTACAGCTCACCGAGCTGCACCTCTCGCCGCCGCGCCGCGGGAGCTTGCACCCGGTGAGGCCGTGCGAGTCTTCATGGCTCGCAGGATTCACGGAGCAACGTCGTCGTGGGGAAAGAATGTTGCTGTTTGCTGTATGACATTCCACTTGATGGCCGAGTTGGCAGCGGCTTCATTGCTCGGGTGCCAAGCCGACGGCGGCAGCAATTCAAAATCTCTACTGGCTAAAGTACAACTAGCTAGTCTGAGCGCAGCTTTCTGCTGAGAGGATGTCGCTAATCGGCCAGTGCGTGCAACTTGTCTGTTTGTTCTCGGTTCTTAGCTTGTCGGTCTCTGGCATGAACTCATGACTGCTTCGGAAAGCTGATCGGAAGGGACTTGGCAGAAGCGAGTGCATTAGCTGTTCTCATTATCCTTGGTACGGGTACAGCGCGGCTGCGCTCACAGTTTGACAGGCCCGTCTGCCTTCACAGATCGCAGAGGGAATTAACGTCACCACTCGGCCATCGATGAGAGCTCGCCTGGGCGACAGGGCCGTCCACTGCGTGTCGGCATGTGCTGGGCATCGAGGCCGGGACCCTGGAAAGTCCGAGCTTTCCATCGCAAGGCTCCTTGCAACTTCGATGTCGGCTGCAATCTATGCTTCCACCAGACAGTTGCAGATCTATGCTTCCAAGGTGCTGCACGTCAACCCGAAACCGAGGTCCTCGGCTTGAACGGACGGGGGTATGTAGCTAGAGCTGAGCCACTGAGTCGTAAGCCGAGGTCGAGCCCTCTGTTCCTTTTTGGCCAAGAACTATCACTATCCCTAAAAGCCCTAGACCTCGCTTTACGTGTACAGGAGGAATAACATGACAATCGGTTGTGGACAGTGCTGTGAATTCTCTTCCTACCGGGTTAATACATACGAAGACGACTAAAACAACCACTCTCTGAATGAAAGGGCAACAGTGAAAGTGCACGAGCAGGATGAACAACACAGATTGTAATACACTACACAGAGCAGCAGCTTCGATCTGTGTCGGCAGTACATCTCTCGCGGACTGTGTAAAGGGCGGTGTTGTGGAGCGTGCACGCCGTTTACAGCTAGTTGGCCACCAGCTTCTCTGTGGAACGCCAAGAGTTTTCTCGTGCGTCCTACCCACCGGCGGAGGGCGGGGGCGGGCGGCTCTGGCAGCAGCTCGGCAGGAGCGAGCTGGCCGTCACAGTTTTCCGCCTATCCCCGGACGTGGCCACCAGGTCCGTGAGACCTGGGCCTCTCAAGCTTCTTTGCTTGGACAGCGTCACTTCCGAAGCCGCAATGATCGCAACAACTGCGCTGTATAAACGGGAAGGCGTTACGCCTCAAGTCCGCATTGCCCCATATCCTAACTTGGTGTACCTGTGTCCTTATAAACATATTAATTAAACTGCTTTGGCTACATCCTAGAGACTGCCTGAGTAGCAACAGGTCCTCTCAACCTGCACACCTTGGACTGTATGCTCTCAAAGGCTCCACTCTGATCTTCCACATCCCAGAGCTCGAAAAAGCCATGTCCAGCCTTGATGTCTTCCGTGAAGCCTGGAGTCACAGGTGATGTCTATGAATGCGGATCAACCGAAGGCTTTCTAGGCTCCCAGCTCAGTTGGATGATCTCCTGTCGGCTCGAGCTGGGGCTCTGTGGCTCGCTTCACATCGGAGCGATCCAAACTGCTTTCGACTCTGCAGGGAGCGGCGTCCTGCTCCGTAGCATTTCGATTGTTCACTGGATGGCAGGCTTTCCTGATTGTGCAAGGAGGTCCTGTCAACGAGGGAGTTACCTTCTGAGGCTCTCACACATCCAGCTCAGGCGCTTGTAGATCGTGCCTGACAAAGTAGGTGCTGTTAAGCGCATGGAAGGCTCGTGAGCACGGTTCCGTTTACCTCGTTTCTGCAACCTCTTGCTGCCGGCGCTGAAGCTGGCACCCAGGCAGCAAACAGGCAAGAGAGACGAGAAGGATATCATGGCTGCTTCTTTCGGGAAGTTGCCAAGCATGTCCTGCAAAGGGTCCATGACCCTGGAGCCCGCAAGTAACAACCATAACAACAGCAGCAGCCAAAAACACAGCAATTTCTGTGCTGTGGCGGTGGTGGTGGTGGTGGTGGTGGTGGTGGTGGTGGTGGTGGTGGTGGTGGTGGTGGTGGTGGTGGTGGTGGTGGTGGTGGTGGTGGTGGTGGTGGTGGTGGTGGTGGTCGTGGTCGTGGTCGTGGTCGTGGTCGTGGTCGTGGGCGTGGGCGTGGTTGTGGTCGTGGTCGTGGTCGTGGTCGTGTTCGTGGTCCTGGTCGTGGTCGTGGTCGTGGTCGTGGTCGTGGTGTGGTGGTGGTGGTGTGGTGGTGGTGGTGGTGGTGGTGGTGGTGGTGGTGGTGGTGGTGGTGTGGTGGTGGTGGTGGTGGTGGTGCTGGTGGTGGGTGGTGCTGGTGCTGTGGTGATGCTGGTGGTGCTGGTGGTGCTGGTGCTGTGCTGGTGGTGGTGGTGGTGTGGTGGTGGTGCTGGTGGTGGTGCTGGTGCTGTGCTGGTGCTGTGCTGGTGCTGGTGCTGGTGCTGGTGCTGGTGCTGGTGCTGGTGCTGGTGGTGCTGGTGCTGGTGCTGTGCTGGTGCTGGTGCTGGTGCTGGTGCTGTGCTGGTGCTGGTGGTGGTGGTGGTGGTGGCGGTGTGGTGGTGGTGGTGTGGTGGTGGTGGTGGTGGTGGTGGTGGTGGTGGTGGTGGTGGTGGTGGTGGTGGTGGTGGTGGTGGTGGTGGTGGTGGTGGTGGTGGTGGTGGTGGTGGTGGTGGTGGTGGTGGTGGTGGTGGTGGGTGGTGGTCGTGGTGGTGGTCGTGGTGGTGGTCGTGGTGGTGGTCGTGGTGGTGGTGGTGGTGGTGGTGGTGGTGGTGGTGGTGGTGGTGGTGGTGGTGGTGGTGGTGGTGGTGGTGGTGGTGGTGGTGGTGGTGGTGGTGGTGGTGGTCGTGGTGGTCGTGGTGGTGGTGGTGGTGGTCGTCCTGGTGGTGGTGGTGGTGGTGGTCGTCCTGGTGGTGGTGGTGGTCGACCACAGTCGTCCTTTCGTTTTATCAGCTCGATCCAGGCTCGCGCAGTCTTTGGCACCGGTCGGAGTCTGCGTCAGGTTCTCAGTCAGCTGATCTTTGCAGCTGGACTAATGCGACAGGATGCTCCTCCAGGGTGCAGCAGTACCCTGAGCTGAGTCAAACTACAAGTAAGGCCAGAAACAGGAACGATGCCATCGCCCTCGGGACCGGGAAGCTAGGGCCGACACCGATGAATTCCTCCACCTGCACCTCACCGAAAGGCTCCAGCGCTTTCACCAGGTCCTCCACAGTCCAATGCGACCCTGAGGAGCACAGGACGTGTGGCCTCCCTCTTGGCTCAAAGACACGGTGTGTCCTCCGCGGTACTGCGCTCGGAGGCCTTCGAGACCATAGCAACGGCAAGCTTGGAGTCTGCCGACTTGCTCCGACCTGCGCACCGCGCCACTGCCGGCGAGGAACAGCGACGAAGGCAAGGCCTCCTGGAAGCCTCCGCAAGACGGAGTGCAAAACATTCCATGAGGCCATGCCCCACGTCGGCTTGCCCCTCCGCTAAACTGTTGCAACCGGAGGTGCAAGTGTGCAGCAATGGCAGATGCCAGCGCAGGCAAATCTGCAGCATAGTAGACCACATCCTGAAGCCAAACTGCAATACTACGGGGCGGCCCTGCGCACAACAGGCTCTTTTGCTCCAAACTCCTCCAAATACAAGCACTTATCTCCCTGGCTAGGGCTATGACGTTGTACTGCATCACTCTTACTGTGTCTACAAGCATGTTTGATCTGACAGTACGATATCAGTGGCATGACGAAATACAATGTCTGCTGGAACAACTTGCACTTCTAGAGCATGTTGCTCCCTCTGTGCTACAATGTCTCCTATTATTGCCAACACTAGCAGTACGAATAAATGGGACTTGCACCTTCTGATGCGCACTACCATTACTTCCCAACAGGGTCGCAAGTACTTACCGATATGCTACAGGACTACAAGCAGCAAATAGCCCAGAGTTTTTCTGACAGTACTAGTAGCACCCAACGAACTAGAAAGCACTGGCGATGAATCGAGACCTGCTAGTGGTTGAGGCACTGATTCTGCTGTGTTTGTTTGGCATTGCTGTGACGCAACTTTGTTCAGGGCAAACCCGTCGGGACATGGTGCAGCTGCAACAACTCGCTCGAAGCGCTCGGTCGGCTCCCGGCCTGCGAAGGCGCACTGTGCTGGGGGCTGCCGACGTTCAGAGCAAGTCTGAGTATACGGCTTTACACCTATTCTGATTGTGGCCACGAATCCTCAGACAGGCTTGACTGTGCTAGACCCCATTCCGTAGTTTGCGTACGAATGCTTCTGACGATGATGGCCTCGACGAGTCGACGAGGGTGAAACAGGGTGTTTGAGAGGTGATCAAAATGTTATGACTAGTGATGCAAAAGGAGTGAGCAACCAGTTGCCGATAGTGGAGGAAGAGAATCAGCAACCTCATCGCCGCCGCAACCAAAACGTTTACGAGCAGCCTAACATCATCGCCGCCCTCGACCTGCATGATCGTACCGAAACGGTCCAGGTTTACCAGGCCTACTCGCAGTACCAGTGAAACGTCCCCGCTTTCTTTCGTGGACGAGCTCAAAAGCAGCTAGCAGCGATAAGTCCTCCGACAAATCTCAGCCTCGGAGGAAGTCCAGCCAGTCCAAATGCCAAACCTCGGCTGGCTCAGCGTTTTCAGGGGTCGGATGTAGCAGTCTCAATGCAGCAACCAGAGACTCAACGAAATGCAGTGCGAACCATCTTCTGAAGGTCTTCTATCGCCAGACCAGGTCTCGTCAAAACACAGAAGCCAAGCTTGCTTCCTCTGCAAGACCCATCATCCCGTCACTCTTCTGCGTTTCAGCATATTCGGAATGCAAGCAACTGCTTAGATGTATACATAAGATTCTTAAGATGTTCGTGTACGTATGTATGTGTGTGTATATGTATGTATCCCTCGCTAAACTTGCACGATGCCTCTCCAATCTCCCATCCGAGTGGCTTCAGCATTGCTCAGTCTGTTGCGCATAACATTGTCCCGCCTCAGATGGCGAAACGCTGCCAAGCCCTGCGATGCTTGCTATACGTTGAACAGTTCGCAAGCGACTCCGGACAGAGGTGGCTGCGTATGCCGAGCAACAGATTCGACAGCAGCAACGGTGGGATGAGACGATCCTTGTCCTGCCGCGCACTCTCTGTATCCCTTTGTCCTCTGTCTTGAAAGGTGCATCCTGCTTGTTGCTCCTCGGCCACCTCCACTGCACTCTCATTGGGACCGAAGTCCTTAGCAGAAGGCCGTCAAGCTTCGCTTGGACTTCTTCTCGTCTTGAACCCTTTAGTATGACAGTATGTCACCTGGGTCAACTTTCGAAGGTCGAGATGCTGAAAGAACCACGGAGGCAGCACAACATCGCGCCAAGACGATTCCCAGAAGCCCCACACCTGTCAGCTGCAGCTTAGGACATCTCTGTCATGTTGGACCCCTTATCATGCCGGCTTTCTGCGAAGTTGTTCTTTTTCTGTTTAGCTCCCGCCTGAGCCAAGCTCCAACACTCGGTGTCCGGCCAGTGCGTCGCATCTCTGCGCTGCCCAGATGGCCATGAGGATGCCACCATCCCACAGATGCCTCACAGAGATGAGACACGGGCTTCTGCACCAGCGAACTCTCTTGCCTGTCACATACTGGCTGGGAAGAGGGCGACGAAAAAACAAACCTCAAAAAGATCTGACGGCTTGGTTTGAAGGCAGCAGAGACAAGTCCTGCTGACTGTACAACAGTTCCTGGTGCCTCTGCACGGTGCGCTTTGCAGCTGAGGTGCCCTCCAAGCTTTCCCTCAGAGAAGGGCAGTTCTTCCACCTTCTCAGGGCCGTTTCTACGCTCTGCCCGCCCATGGGGGGCCCATGCGCCTCTGCCTGCGGATTAATGTTGCATTCCCGGCAACCGAGAACCAATTCAGGCAAAAAGGCCTTGGGCATTCCACCTTCGGTATTGCGAAGCAAGGGCATCGTTTGCTCGGCCGACCCTGGGTTTAGGCGGAGATCTTCAAGCCACCCGCGCAGATACTACAGAATCAAGAGTTGTTGCAGTCAAGCCCTAAGTCGGGGATCATGACAGAACTTTCCAAGCCGGTATCTCCACGGAAGCGAATCACACTCGCCCACCTCAAACTGCTCAAGGCCTTTGGATGCAGGAATGTGGAAGCAACGCTTCCCGTCCCTGCACAGACTCCAGGCCACACATCACAGGACCATCATGGGTGACTGAGGCTTGACAGACGATGCCAGATGTGCAATACCGAGCGGCTCCTTCGTTTGAAGCTCGCAGAGGACCATCGCCCGCTCATCTGCAGGCGAGCGAAGACAGTAAAATCCTTTGCAACACATACTGTTGCTCGGGCGTGACGGCAAGCGTGACAATGACAGAGATGCTCCACTTGGGAACGCTCGGAGCCTCAGAGCTTACATGTCCTCACGGCCGTGGCTCCAAGGGGTCGCTTCCCTGCAGCGATCTTCGCTAGCTCCTCCGATGCCAAGCTCGACAACTTCGAGCGGAGCTGTGTCACGTGACTTCCCCTTCGCCGGCTACTGGCTACAGGGCGCCTCCTTCCCCGGCAGCCACGGAGGGCTGGCAGTGCGCTCCTGGGTCGAGGCCACGACACGGCAGCAAGCAGCCAAGCAGCATCAGCGGGGCACACTCGGACATTCACCATCTGCGGACAAAGAGCAAGTCTCGAAAGCCTCAACCAAACAAAGGCTTGAACAAAGCCGAGCGAAGCACGCACAAGGCGCTAAGCGCATGTGGAAGGCAAGCTCATCGACAAGCAATACCACTGTCTTGTCTGCAGGGCTTGGTGCCGGGCTTTCGACACACGAAGCCAGATGCCCAGCCAGCAGCGAGACCAGCAGAAAGGAAGCTTCGGAATTGGTCATGCCGCTGCGCAAACCTTGGGATCGAAAACACTTGCACCAAAACATCCAGAACTCGCAAGGTGCGGCCGTGAAGCAGCTCTCGCACAGCAGAGCCAGACTGCCATCTGCTTCGGCCCGTTGCAGCCGCCGCCCGGCTGCTTAAGCACGGTGGAGGTGAGGACCGCGGCGACCATGGGCTTGGGGCATGTATCATGATGCATCACATCATCAACGTATTGCAAGTCCAGGTTGCAAACAGAGTCTTTCAACTTTCCCCCCAAAGATTCCTTCCAATAACACCAGCGGATTCTGTCAACTGTACCCAGCAGATGCACTCAACCCTAAAACCTAAACCCTCAATCCTAAAACCTAAACCCCAGTAAACCCTAAACCCTAAACTCTGAAACCCAAACCCTAAACCCTAAACGCTAGTTGAAGGAATTGGAGTCGAAAGGATCCTGGTTGACAGAAACGCCCGATGTTGATGAAGAAGGCTTCGACCGCAAGTCACATGAAGCGTAGTTGCTTGGTTTACTTGTCTGCGTCGTTGCTGGGGTCAGTGTCAAGATGCATGACATGCAATAGCAACAATAGCAACGGCTGGCCGACCCCTTCCCGCATTTTGCTGTTCAACCCTCGACTCTGCCCACCTTCTAAACGTGGCTCACATGTAGTGATCGATCCGAAGCAAACTGAAGCCGTCCTGCACTGCCGTCGTCGGTATGTGGACCTACAAAGCGTCATCAAGGGCCGACAGTCTCAGTCTGCGAGACTACTTAAGCTGACCGCCTGTCCATGCCCAACACGCGATATGTTTCCCACCGAAGAAAGAGCACATGGCCTCGAATTCCTGCGGCACTCGCCGCCCGCGAACGTTCACCGGAACCTGCACCGTGCCAGAGCCAAGCAAGCCGCTGAGCTGAAGCTCTGCATCGGGGGCCCGCTGCTGTAAGGCGCAATGTGCAAGCTTGTGCAAGCTGCCCTGCCTGAAGGTTGACGTAGATCCTCGCAGTGCGGTTGTGCAAGTCCTGGTACCTGCCGGACCCAAGCGGACGTCACTTCTTCACACAGTAAGTAGTCTAAGCAGCGGGACACAGACATGGAATCGTGGGGGCACCTCGTCTCGCAGACTTTGATGGGAAGCACAAACACGGGTGATGCCAGCACCTGGCGACTCACGTCAGGCGGACAGGCCCCGCTTTGGACTTTCCTCCGCGTCTTAGATCAAGTTCGGTAGGCAGCAAACTGCAGGCTGCGCAAGCTGCCCTGCCTGAATGTCAAAGGTAGCTTCCAGAACCGTCACATCCATCGGAGGGCTCATGGGGCCCATGAGCCGCCGGCCAAGTTCCTATGTCAGGCACATAGACAATGCGTGTCAAGTTGAAACACTGCGACTACGGGATGAATTCGGATGGTGAGGCCCGCACAAGAGTTTCATTGCTGCAGTTTGTGTCGTTGAGCACGCATGGAGCTTCCTTGGCAGTCTCCCGGCTTGAAGCAGGGCAGAGGCCATTGGGCAATCCTAATGCTGGCCACTGGTCGGAGTTCATCAAGACCCACCGCACATGTCTGTGCAAACTGCTCAGGATGGGGATTGGGCCGTGGTCGTCGAGCTGCTGGTTGTCGACGGCATATCCTTTACGTTACTTGGCTTCGCTGCTCAGCAGAAGGCCTCAAACGTAGAAGTCGAGCAGGGGCGCCTCGCAGCAGGTCTCGTTGTCCAGCTCTGAGCAGGCGTCTGGGTCGGCACACCTCCCAGTGTGCATACATCAGAACAAGCACGCGAGGATGATGATGGTGATAGGATCGCAGCTCCTGGAACGTAACAAACTTGTGGGCTCGTGTGTTTAGCATCCTAGTCCTGCTCGTAGGCATACTTTGACGCCGATCTGATGTCGAGCAAGTGCGGACGTGCTGAAAAATTGGACTGAAGCCTTCAACCGGACGGCTCGAGTGGCGGCTGTCTTGTCCACTTCATTACGATGAGCGGAAAGGGCCGGCCGGCATCATCTTGGGCCTTCCGGTCAGAATCTGTGAAACCGCACCGGTGGTAGAAGGCCCATGCTCCAGTGTTCTGTTCGTTCACGTCCAAGGTCAGCGACGTCCGTCCCGATTTCGCAGCTTCCATGAGTAAGGTCCCTAAACCCTGGCCACGGTGCGCTGCATCAACAAACAGTGCATCAATGCTGTCTCCCGTCATGACCATGAAGCCCATCGGCCTGTCTGTCGCATCAACAATGACATCTGGCTCAACATTTGGCAAAAACTTCGTCTTCACCTCCACGGCAATCTCAGCCAATGCCTCCTCGGAAAGGAAGCTGTGCGTCGCCCGGACAGAGGCATACCACAAGTCAAAAAGCAGCGGCTCTTCGTCTCGCCGTGCTTTGCGGATCACATAAGTGCTTTCCATTGCCTTGATGGCCGAGCACTCGCAATTTGTTGGGATGCTGCTGTTCCAACTATGCATATGCTTTTGCCCATTCACTTCCAATAGCCCTGGAATGTTATGCCCAACCTAAGTCCTGCGTGGTATCGACAGCACATTTTGTCACCCGTGCTTCTGAAGCTCCAAACGTGGCGCAGAGGACAGATGGGATGCGAGCTCGGATCCTCCCTCCGCAGCTCACTTGCTGAACTGTTCAAAGGATATAGGGATATAGATTCTTGCAGCTGCCGGTCTTTGCAGGCCCCCTCCCCCCGTGCTCGGCCTGTACCAGGTCGAATTGTCGATCAGCTGCCTACCCTCTCCGCAGCTGAAGTTGTAGTCACCTTGATCCAGCCGAGTATCAGTGCCAAACACAAGCACCCACCCTACATTGTCCGCATGTCAGCTTGAAGCCCTTTGCTTCCGGGGCGCCGCAAGTCGCCGCCGCCGGGATCAGGACCGAACGGTTTCCCTGCCCACCCGCTTCGCATATCGAAACGTAGGCAAAAGCGGAGCAAGCTGTTCTTCTTGAGGGAAAGTGCTGCCTGGCCTCCACGATCTCTGGCCTGTCGATGAAAAGCCCCTCGTCCACCTTGGAGCCGGGGCGAGGGCTCAAACTGAAACTGGCCACGTCTTCAAGCCAAGGCTCCACGGGGCTCCGCTGGGCTCCGGGCGACCAGGCGGAAATCTCCCCCAGCAGCAGGCAAAGGGTTGGCCTCCCCACCAGGATGGTGGCCCAAGTGGCCTCGAAGAACCGAGGTGTCTGACTCACGATCCTCTTGAAGCCTTGACTGACCAGCGCGTTCCGAGACTTCGACACCGTTCTAAGCCCTGAGCTGAGGTGAATCATCGCTTTGAAGGGCAGTTCCGGATCGAGCGTCACCTGGAAAAGTGCATGGGAAGTCTGGTGGGAGAGGCGGTGACAGTGCGTAGCACTTGCCCAGCCTGGCCCTCTGCTGGAAGTCTCCAAAGCTCTCGTCCTTCCAAGTCCTGAGAGTGCAAAGACGCCAGCGCTGGAAGGCGAAGAGCCAAGGTCCAGGCCTGGAAGGTCAACTCTCGGTTGCCTCGGCTGAGCCGCACTGCAAGCGCTTGCGTTCGACAGCTCGACCCGACCGGGCCCCCGACTGGTGTTCAGATCCAGAATACGCTCGTTCAGGTACAACCTTTGTTACGGCATGCCAAAGGCCAAGAGGCCACCTTCACACCAGCGGCAGAGCAGCTAAGCCTCGAACTCTATATCCGAAAGTTTGGTAGGGTGACATCGCCACTCCTGCGGCTTACCAGTTGGAGTATAAAGAGCGAGGATGCAGTTCTGCAGCCTCCAACACTGATGGCAACTCCTCTTGCTGCTGTCGGAACAGGATCCCTTCAGCTGTCCTGCATAGAGTTGAAGAGGATCCGCCTGGCGTCGAGGGGAGGTGGACATGCGGATCGTGCAGAAGCCACACGATTCCTGCACCTTCTGCGCCTAAAGGCCTAGCAAGCCGAGTCCCCGGCAGTTCGGTGACTGCCAAGCGGAACTCAACGCCTGCCTGCTGAATCATTGCTCTTGGAGTCTTGGAGGACTCACAGCACATGCCATCAGATCACCGTCAGCAAGCAGCGGTCGAGGCACTTGTTTTCTGCTGCAGGGGCTTGAACGGCTTGAACCGAGCTTTTAAGAGGCGAAGGTCGCTGCGCAGGCTTCTGATCTGTGACCCGTCCCGCAGCCCTTCGATGGATCTCTCTGTACAGTCAGCATGAACGATCTCGACATCGATTCGCCTTTCGGCAGGAAGTCTGACGTCAGCCGGTATCTCAGCAACCTGCGACGATCCTGTGCACACCAGCTGCTCGCCACGCGTCATACAGCTTGAACGTGTTCGTCTTCCTGACGCTCTGGTTCAGCAAGACTGTATCAGCCCAACAGTTGATGGCAAGTCGCACAGACCTTCCCCGCCTTTTGACAAGACCATTACCCGCACGCCAGGATGTTGTCAACGCGGCTTCCAGCTCACTCAGCCTCCACACGACATCTGGATGCACGACTAAGTGACCAAGCCCAGTCAGACGCCTAAGTGACTAAGCCCCGTCAGACGCTTCCACGAAGGCCGAACACTGTGTCTGTCTGGCCTTGCCAGCGTGCGGTGCCATCAAGAAGCTGAGACTGCACCAGGTGACAAACCATGCGGCGTAGCCACAGACTAACCTGCAGCTGAAATCGAAAGTCGAAGAGCGATCAAGTTGGACCCGAGTCCCAAAGCAGCTGGAAGCTTCCGAGGCGCATAGCAACCATTCCGAAGCCAGCCCGCACCACCAGGACCATGGCCACTGCGAAGGCCAGGGTGCCTCAAAGGGGGGAGAAGGGAACAAGGGACCAATGCCGTTGAAATCCTTCCTTACCCTTGTCGATTCGTTCATGAGACCGCACCACTGCGGCGAGCTTCACAAAGCCTTAAAGGCACTAGTCGGCATGAGGATGAACTCTGTTTGCTATCAATGAATCACTGGTCGGTTGTCGCTCACAATGCAGTTTAGGCAGTTAGGCTTTGTGGGAAACATCGAAGGACTGTGATGTGGGACGGCGCTTGAAAGAGCTGAGTCAAACGGAACCTATTGGAGGTCACCCCACACATTCAACGCGAGTCTTTTGCTGAAGCACCTGCAGCCCCCCGGACCACGGACTCGGAAAACTCAGCCAACGTGGCCTGACAGAAGTGGGCAAAAAAAACGAAGGATTCGAGCTCTAGGACTCCGATGGGCAGCTGTGCTCTTCCCCGGCCGGTTCCTGTGAAGTGTCAGGCTTGCAAGCCACCAGGAACAGTGCCTCACGAGGAGCATCCAGGCAAAACGAACATCAAGCGCAAAGCGGCGAACAGCAAGCGCAAAGCAGAAAGCAGCTCAAGTGGGCACCAGCGGAACTCCAGTGGGAAGAGAGGCAGCCACAGCGGACAGCTGGACCTGACTGAAGCAACAAAGGCGTTCTCTCCTGATCTCTGCTAGCGAGGCATCTGACTTTGAAAGATCATCGCTGTGCGTATACGAAGTCAAACTTGCAAAGTGCGCAGCAGCTTTCCGAACCGGAACGAATTTAATTTACATACATATATATATATATGTATACATGGAGAGTCATCGATAGTAGCCTGAAAGTCTGTGCAGATGTTTATGGCGTCTGGTATTCGCAGCAACTCTTCAATGTTGATGATGTTCAAGGGATCTCGGGTTTAAGCAAGTGAAAAGCCATTGACTGAGGAGTCTGCATTCCCACTTCGGCTTGCCGCTTCCACTGCTAGCAGCACGGCAATGGTCACGAGCACGGATCCATAATTCCCCAAGAGCTCCAAGCCCATGGCCCCAAGCCCTAAGCCAAGACAACACCGCTCGAGCAAACTGCTGCAGAATTCTTTTCTCCTGCAACGCGCTGAAGAGCCAGGACAAGGTTGGGATCTACATCATCCGTCTTGCTCAATTGGCATCATCAAGCCATCCACATCAAACACTCTGGTCTCAGAGCGTACAGAGCAGGGTGCCATTCGACGGAGCACATGCCCAGAAAAGGCCAGAACTTGCGAGCCGAACAACGAGATGGGTATGACACTTGCAAACTGCCTCGCTGACAGTGTTGAAGTCTTCAGCCTCACATCTGTCTCTGACACTGCCGATCTAGGCGTACCCAAGGATTTGGAAGAAGAAACTGTTGATCGCCGTGCAAGCTGGGCTACCACACATCTCACGCCTCACCACATCTCACGCCCCGTGCAAATCGCCCTTATCCTAAGCCGTCGGCAATCATGACGCCGTTCGATCCAACCACGGCAGTCTGATTTGCGGCAACCTCAGCGGATCTCAACGCGGAGGCCTGGATTAAAAAGAGGTGCAAGCAGAAAAATACCCTTTGCTTGACAACTGCTGCGAGGCACCCAAAAGGTGGCTCCTTCTGCCAATGGCAGTGGGAAGGGATTCAACATCACCATGTTCCGGACCTCAGCACTTTCCAGTGACGTACAGCATGGGTGTGGCATCGTCTGGTCTAGCTCTTCTTTCAGACATGAGACCGATGAGACCTTTTGTCGTCAACTATTCTGAAGCTCTCGCTCTACGCGGAGATGCAGCCGACGTGAGACGAAGCTGCACCACGGCCCCACGGCCACTGCTTTTGAGGCCGCCACGAAGAAGACTTCCTCAGCGGCCCGAGCCAACCCTCACAGCTCCGATCCGGCCAGGGTAGAGAGTTTCCTTGCTGAGCCAGGCACCTCAACGGGAACCTGCAACAGCTCTGATTACTTTCGCTTTACTCGCAACCGTCAATCTCTAATGCAACAGGGAGGGTCTTGTCCAGGTTCGGGCCACAGCAGTAGCCAGCCATGCAGGGCCCATGAAGCGAATCTCAACCAACGAAAGCAGACAATTCGCAATGCAGTCCGTCGTTGTTGGAACCGTTGTGTGCTTTCACTTCGCACAGCACTGCTCAGCCCGAGGTGCAGTCGCAACTTGTGGAGAAAGCAGCCACCGACAGATCCACCGGCATCCCACCTCCTTTATGAACACTGCCTCCACCGTCACGTTTTCACCTCGGCATCTGTGAATATGCAGCGCCCATGCTGCCATTGCTGCTCTCGTCTGCATGACGGGCGATTCGATGCATGCAGATATTCAACCCTGACCAACACGACATGAGGAAACTCCATGCAAGCTGCAAAATCGGGGCCAGGGCCCGAAATCTCCGTGCGCCAGATGTAGATCTGGAAGAAGCCGCTCCCGGCCTGGTGCACGCCACGCGTGGCACGCGCGGCGGCGCACGCGTGGCAGCGTGGGGGGACAACCGGGGGTTTCTGCTCAGGTTTTCTTGTACTTTTGTCCAGGGCCTCAGGGCCATGGCTGCAGCTGAAGCCAGTAAGGAACGGCTTGACGGCTTAATGGCTTAATGCACAGGATAGAGGACCATTGGCTCGAGAGCCCATTTAAGTGGGTGGGCGGCGTACTCGCCAGTTTAGGGTTTGGGGTTTGGCTTCCCTTTGCCGCTAGGCCCTCGCGGCACCTGAGCATGGAGCAGTTGACTCTGCATGCAGTGAGCCTCGACATCAAAGTCGAAGATCAACGGAGCGAACCCCACCTCGCTTAGCCGCTAGGTGGAAAGAGTTAAGACACAACCGCACGAGTAAGGCCAGCCTCCGGGTTGACATCGACGGCACCTGCAAGGCATGTCTGGAGCAGAGAGGAAGGGGGATCTCAGAGTCAGAGGTGTCCTTTTGGGTTTGCTGAGGCCTCGTGGCATTTCCAGGCGCGGTCGCGCCCCGAGCCGCGGGACCACGGCGCGGCGAACACCGAAGTCGCTATCCACGTCCTGCTTGCGAAAGACTCCGAAAAGCACAAAACGCACTTGGACTTCCCTCGAGGACCTTGACTGGCTCATCGAACATCAGCAGCACCGACTCCATCGCCGGATCCTGAACGTGGGCAGCACCATTGTCATGCAGGATGGGACGTGGCAGCAACGTGCTGGAAGCACCGACATGCTGTACCGTGCCTGGCCCCTCTACAGTCTCCATGGCTGATGATTTCAGCATTGCAGCATGACAGCTCTTATCATGCGAAAACCACACAAAGTTGAGGCAAGTGCGATGTGGCCGGAGTTGTTTGCTGGCTCTGATGCTGCCAGCACCTTAACAGCCACTCTGCACCTCTCAATTCACTCGGCAACTGGCGCTGACCGGCCAAGAATGGAGAATCTGGGACCACGGCTGGACCGTCAGTGTCCGGATGCACTGAGAAGTGGAAGCCGGACCTCGAACGCAATGACAAATCTGGATTATGCAAGGCATGATGATGTACCCAAGCACCACACTCTGCCAGCGAGTTCTTCTGGAGTTCCCCCACAGTGACGGCCTGGAAAAAATGAGCAGTAGAGCCGGGTCCTGTTGCTTACACAAAGACTTGCTCTTCAGGAAGCCTTTCCTGTGCATGCAGGTGCGAGATTATCACTGGATTGCCAGTTCTCATGAGGCTGGAACATCCGTGAAGGCTGCCTCTTCGATTTGCAGGTGGTATGTCCTCCGGTCAAGCACTTCGCCCTTCAGGGGCTTTTGTTCCTCCGGTCTTGCTCCAAGGAGCACAAGTCTGGCTGATGAATCCGATGGATGACATACATTTTCTGCGCGAATCAACCGGCATCGATGCACGAATGTCCTCAGCCGTTCAGCCCCGCTCCAGACTGTCCAAGATGGTAGCGTCTGTGAAGCGTGGGTTTCGGAACAGATTTTGCCTGACTTAGCACGGCAGATTCAGCGGAAGCGCATAGCTGGAAGCGTGCCAGATTGCCGTGAATCACCATACTGCTAGCACGAGTGCGACAGCGACAACTCATAGGCCAGTCCAGCTGCGCATCACAACATCTAGCCTAGCAATTCGTCCGGTCCTCTACTACGCAAGTCCTGGGGGGGCAAGACCTGATTTTACCAAGAAGGAATTCTCCCCCAGCAAAAAAATTCGCAGTCGAAACACTTGCCGGCAGCTGCAGGGCCCTAACCCTCTTGCAGCTGTCTTGGACTTGGGCTTACACCGCCCGCGAGTCGAAATCTGCGAGCGCCCCTTCGGAGCTACACGCCACCATTGCCAGATGCTTGCTTTCCATGACCTTCTGGAGTTGCTGGACAGTAAAAGAGGTTTGCCACTCCAGGCGCGGTCTGGCAAAGGGAAGACTCGACAGTTCGCAACCATTTACATTTCCTTTTCGATCCCAGTTTCACCTCCCGAAGGACATCTTACTTTGAAGCAAAACCGCCAGTCAAGCTTCCACCAAGACCACCACATGACCGTTACCTATACGCTTCGTCTGTTTCATGTTGTTGAGAGGCAAGGAGCCACATTGGTGAGACTGCATCACAAGTGTAGGCTTTCCCGCTCATTTTTCACGGGCATGCCTGAAGCACAGCAGTCTCATCTGCACCAAATCTATGGCCGGGGTCGTGCAAAGATGTGCAAAGCACTATTGAGTATCCGGAGCGGAACTACTCTGACGACGATAGCAAGGCTTGCCTGGTGCACAGCTGTACTAGGTCCTAGCTTTGATGAATAATCATAGTTTTCATGCGCGCAGGTGTCCCCAAAGCTTCTTCTCGTCCAAAATCGTGTTGAACCATCGACAGCTCCAAGTTCCCAAACCAGCCTTCCGGACTTTCTGCCGCCAAGGCGAACTCTACGGCACTGAGAGCATCGAACCTTCGCGGGAAGCGTGTCACTGTCTCGAAAACACACCTACAAGTTGCATCCGTAAGCTTAGACCCTGCGCTGTCATTGACGACATGGCCGGAAGCTTACCTTTTTCAACAGCTAGTCTTCTCTTGTCCCTATGCAGGCCCAGCACGCCCGAAAAAGACGATAGGCTAATTGCCACACACATTTCTCAGGGCATGCCCCTTGTTCTGGCTGGGCCCACTCCCTACTCCCAAGCCAGCCGACAATGCACACAAGAACAGAAATTACCTCGTTGTTCCACAACGTATATGCCACAACAGCTTCTGACATGCTGTCGAACTCTTGAGGCAAGTCGCTTCGGCTCTGGTCGCTGCAGCTGAAGGAGGTTGACTGCCTCTTGGATCACACATAATGTAGGGGGAGCTTATGCATGGCCGAGGCAGTAGAAGCAATTTCAAAAATGCAACATCAGTACCTTTAATTTCTGTTTCGTTTGTGCAGGCAAATTGGGGCTGGCATGACTGTCCCTAAGCTTATCATTAAAGGACTTCGGTGTTCTTCGTGTGTTTCTTCCCGTACGAGCGCAATGCTCGAAGCGTTCGGCAAGAGTGGCACTGGCTTGTGATGCTACCCCTGTCGGTTTTCAAGACTAGTCAAGGCACGGGCAGTGGCATGACTACAGCTGATGCGGCTCTGTCGGGCCGTCGCGGTATGAGCACTCATGTAGGCAAAGTAGGTACATGGACCCCAAACCATGGCATGACATCTCCGAACCTCTGCAGAGCTGCACCGATCTGTGGGGCTGGTCGCTACACAGAGCGGGCCTCACATGGCTCTGCGAGGCTCTGCTGCGAGTGCTAAAGTGCACATGAGGACCCAAACACTGAACTCCAACAGCTCTCTCACTACGCATGAGGATGCCCCTGCCGTCCAACGACTCCTGGAAGCCCACCCTGCCCATCTGCAGCAAGCTGAGGTCTGTGCAGAGCTCCTCCTGAGTTTGCGATTCAGTGGCGCGGGCGCAAAGCACATGCACAAAGACTGGATCGCCATGAAACTGTTCGTGCCGATACTGGTCACCAGTACAGCTGATTTGCTTGAAACAGGTCGACGGTCGAACAGAAACATGACCAACCAAGGCAGAAAAGCAAAGTCGACTCTGCAATGCATGATACTTTGAGCATGCTTGCCTGTGCGATTGTCGGCTAACTTTTTGAGACTGCAACTATTCAAAGGATTGCCGTGCCGGGCCTTGCAGAACGTCACGAGACTGCTCACCTAGGCTCAGTTTCTGGTTCTCTGATTTCCGTACATGTTGGGCGAGGAACTCGTGAACCTGGGGATCTGGGTTCTCCTATATGAGCTAAAGAAGCATGCGGCAGATCCGTATCAAAGAGACCATCCTACCATCAATGCCCTCTTCTCTGCTCGAGATTTCCAGCTACCGCAGACCCTCTAAATTTGAAGTCTGAGACCCCCAACTAAAACATTGAAACCCCGAACCCGTCACACCCCACTCACGCAGGTTTCTGGGAGCTTCGAAACCCGCCAAAGCTGGGTTCTGGCTAAGGAGCTCAACTGCTAGCAGAATGGGGATCTACCGTGAAGAAGATAGCACTCCCTTATTATGATAGCTTAAACTAAATCCTAAACCCCTAGACCCCGAACCCCACAACCCCAAACCCTAAACCCTAAAACTCCCCTAACCCAAAATAGCACTCCCCCCACCCTTCCCCCCCCCGTCCGCCCCGGCCCCACCCTTTAGAAAAAAAAACGCGCCAAAGGAGCCCCCTCCAGGCTGTGACCCGAGAGCTCAGGCCACTTCATCGGAGGCAGCCGCCCTCGCTCTGTGGCCGCCATCCTCAGCCGAGACGAAACCACCCAAAACGGGACCCATCTAAATATCTACATATAGGTAGATCGATATATAGATAGATAGATAGTTGGGTAGACAAACAGATAGATAGGTAATTAGATGGGCAGATAGATAGGTAGATAGATAGAGACAGAGATGGAGACAGAGATGGAGAGATGCAGCGGATTTCGATATAGATGTAGCTGCAGGTAGATATAGACATCTGAGAGATTACATGTTATATATTGTGTAAACCTTAAACCCTAAATCTTGCTAGATTAAAACTGAACCTTGCATTTTGCAGCTTTTGCTATATGTCGTATGTTATACCCAAGCCCAAGGTCTCGGTTGAGTGTTGAGATGTTCAAAGGTATAAAGGTGATCCTTCGTGATGATTCTATAAAGGAGTCTTGGGTCTTGCGGGTTTGTGGGATGCTTGCGTTTTGAGGAAGCTTTAGGGAGAATGAGAGAGGGCTTTGGCTTGAAGCTTCCGATATCTGGCCTTAGCTGTGAACTGTTCTGAGCCAGGCTTCAGCTCGTCCACTGTGTATTCTTGCAGCGGCAACTGCCCGGTGGCGACGAAGAAGCACACGCGGCCGAAGGCGAAGACGTCCACGCTACAGTCTCGCAGGCCCCCCGGGGTGCTAGGTGCTGGGCTACGCCAGAGCATCTGAAGCTGGACGTCAGTATGGAAGTACTCTGCTTTTGCGAAGCTAGGTGCCGTCTTGTTCATCTTGCATGTACTGCATGCCCTCCTTGCAGGAAGAAATCCTGCTGCAATAGCCACCCCCACCCCGTTCATCGATTGGGCCTGGTGCGAGGCCTCCCTGACTTAGGGAGCTGATCAGCTCCGGTGCCATCCACCGTGGAGAGCCTCTATGCAAAACTCTGCACGTCAGAAGGGTGGACGGACATGTCACCGAAGGGCTTAAAACGAGAGCGTTCTCGCGCCTCCCTGGAGTTTCTGCCGTGACTTGTGGAGCACCGCCATCCCGAAGTCGATGAGCACCGGCTCCAAACTGCAAAGGGCTCTTGGAAGCTCTGCGGGGTTTAGCAGCAAGCAGTCGGCCGAATAAAAACAGACAGTATCCCGAAACCGCTCTCCACGTAGAAATCTTCGCTTTTTTTTGCGTCCGGCGGCCCAAAAAGAGACAATGGACACCTGCTTTGTTTTTGCTTTTGCAGCCTCGCCTCGGACGCTGCAAAATCTGCACTCCCCCTCCTTTGTGGAACCTGCCCGGGACAGCGCCCCGAAACCGAGCCTGTTGCTTCGCATCATGATGTTCTTGGCTGAGAGGTCGCCATGCAGGATGGCTGGCCCCTGTGCACCGTGCACGTGACGGCAGCAGGAGTAGAAGTCAATGCCCCCCCCGCCCCGCGAGCCTGATCGTGCAAGTACATCAGGGCATGACAGACCTCACAAACGCGAAACTTGATAAACCAGTGATTCAGCTGCGAGGTGCACTTCCCAGAAATGCAACACATCGACTGAACCGCGGAACCCAGTGCAGGCGACCTGAGAACATCCAAGATTCGTTGAAAGCCGAGCCCTCAAAGTCTTTGTTGCTTACGAATGACGTTCTGGACAACTGCAAGCTTGATCGAGCTGCCAAGTCACAGAGCAGAGAGTCTGCCACCTGACCTGCTCTGTAAACCTCGCGATCGCAAAGTCTCATGTGTAGCCATGATTTGTCCGGCTGCGACTACACTGCTTGGAGAAATTGAAGGGAAACCAGTGCATCTTGCAGAGTCAGTGGCCGCTTGTCCTTCTGGAAGAGGATCAGGTCCTAAGCTGCTCGGCACACTTGGTTGACGAGACTCTCATACCCCCGGTCAAACCTGAGGGCACCTATGAGCGATAATTGTTCTGCCCTCGCGGATTTAACATCAGAAGCAATAACATTGTTGTTGACATAGTTTTCGCAATGCCGGTAATAGTTCAGTTCCTTTTTGGTTGGAACCATAAGGGACAGTGCATGTTAAAAGATAGCAATGATCCCGTTGAACTAGTCGATTTATATCAACGATTTTCATTTTACATTTATCGTGATCATTGTATTAAAAACCATGACAAAAGAAATACTTGATAGATTGTACTAGGAATTAAATAAAGCTGTATCTAAAACTGATATTCAATTTGGATTAGGACTAGGAACACCTCACAGTTATGCTGATATGGGATGATGCATGCCGTTCCCCAAGGCAGCCTGACAAGGCCACGACCAGAGGCTCTGCCCCTAGCGAATTTTCTGGCGCCCGAACTCACTTTGATCGATTGCACCTTCATGTTCGTCCATATTTTTTTCTTTAATATTCACCCCCGCAAAGCGCCATAGCAACAGCCCAGAAGAAGCTCTGTCTGGCAAGAAGCAGACCGAGAATTTCGTTCGAATGTGTTGCCGTTTTATGCTTCTCTGCTCGTGAACTAGAATAAGTTGCGGCATGAGTTGCTGCTATTCACCGAACAGAACCGATTTAGATCAAGCTCGAGTGTTCAGTATCCGGAGTTGCGTCATGCCGCCCGTGGACGACCCCTTCCGCAAGCTTTCCGCCGATCCGAACGACCATGTGCTGAAGAGTTGCGTGTAGGCTTGATCCGTCAATGTACTCCTTGCCGGGTCTTGCAATGGATTGAAACGGGCAAAGGCAACTGCCTCTACTCAACTGGCACTGGCAGACTTTGATTCGCTCCTCAATCAGAACCACCAGCTGCTTGGCGTCCTCTATACAAGCGCCGTAGAAGTTCACAATGAACCTGAGAGCCCATGAGCATACACATACTTGAAGCACCAGAGACACCACAAAGCAACCGATGTCAAGGTGCGGATGGCGCAAATGGCGAAGCACCCTCAACTCCTGCAGCAACAAGCAGGGTCGCACTGTCTCCGTGGAACCTGCGACATGCACACCTGAGCCGGACATGGGACTTGGACAAGACCTGACGGTATGGCCCAAAAGCGCAAGGCAACTGCTGAATCACTTTGCAACAGGCGGTGAAACGGGAAGGGCGTATCAAGCTTCGCTAGCGGCTGCCTTCGCCCTTCGAGCGTAACCTTCCAACGCCTTTACTCTGTGATTTGGGGAATGCTCGCGTACCAACGAGGATTGTCAGCATGGTGAAGGTGAAGATGGCGAGGACACTCATGGCGATGACGAACACGAAGACGAACTGATGACACAAAAAATGAGGGTAAAAGGCGGCGAGGATGACGATGGTCGGTCATTTAGATTGGTGTCGTGGCGGATGGGTGGGATAGGATATGATTAGAGTGACGAGGCTGATGGTGGCGATGATGATGCTGATGCAGATGATGACGCCCCAGGAGATCAGGAGAGATGAGGGCATTTCAAGCAGCACGTTCGAGCCTTGCCAAAGAAGTCTGAAACCTCTTTGGACCTCGGGATTCAGTTCAAATTCGCAGTGCCCACACGGGCCGTGCTCCAGCTGTGCTCCAGAGGCTCCCACGTGGAAAGCTGCTCCTTGGAGGGCATCTTCACTGCCACACGCGCACCTGAAAACCGCGAGGAGCGGAGCTCGGGACGGGGCCGGGACCCTGCCAGAAACCTCCAGGGCACAGAAGAATCAAAGCGGGCGCCTGCGTATTGGCCTTGCACAACCATGGCATAGCCGCCCTTTCCTGAGATGATCACCAGCTCAAACCAGCTGAAGTACAGCACAGGCTCTGACTTCTGCAGCCCCAAAATCCAAGAAGGTTGGACTGGAACGTCACGTCGGACCAGGAGATGAGCCATTTCTCTTCGGCAGCAACGGCCTGCGATCGCTGCCCGGAAGCCGGGCAAGGGGCACTTCCAATGTTGGTCACGAGTGAAGTAACGAGTTCAAATCTTGTGCAGTGGATGTTTCAGTACGAGACTTGGGAAGCTTAGGGAAACCTGACAAGCCCGAGTGGCTGCCTCTACTTCCCTACACCGTCCTGTTGCGTAACTCGTTAACACCGGAACAAGTTTCAATCGGAGCCTTGATGGCCGACAGCTGCAACTCGACCGGCACTTCTCCTAAATGGGTGTGGTGCTTCCACCACAGAATGCAAAAGCTAACGCCTTCCGCATGCTGCATGCCCTTCCATATGCCATATGTATATATATATATATATATATATACATATATACATATACCACAGACATATGCTTCCGAAACCTTGCAGCCATCACACTCGACTCGGACGGGGTGAAGATGATGCCTTGCCAGCAAGCACATGAAGTCGACGATGTCTCAACTTCGACTGATAGCATCACGGGAGTTGCTGCAGGCAGCCTGACGCAGTGCGACCAAGTGGCTGCTGAGAGGACGGCTCGCCATCGAAGCCACTGCACTAGCAGCATCGTTGAGGATGGGAACGGCGAGACTACGGTTCTCAGGTTCGGCTGTGTTTGGCCTGGCGGGTGTAACGAGCAGAACGCAGTGAACGGTATCTTGTGCTGGCGAGCGGCTGCTGTGGCTCCCCAGAGTCCTCAGCCTCAGCCTTCTGGGAAAAGGGTCCCTTCCTTATACAAGCCCACGGCTTGAAGGAACTCTGCGCACGACTGCAATGAGACCAGTATGCCCAATTCCCGCGTCAGGCACTGCAAACGAAAGCATTTGCGATGTACAATATTGTGTGGAACATCTGGAGAGCTAAAAGTTCCGACAATCGAGGCAAGGCTCGCATTCTCGTGCTCGGCAGCAAAGCGAAGAACTTTCTCTTGGGTCAGGTCCTCCATACCAGCTTGACGGCAGTCCATGAAACCAACGCAGAAGCGAAGGCTTTCTAAGTTAAGAGCTGCTTCGGAAAGGCAGGTTATTCCACATGCCTCCTCCACCTTGCGCACTCGTAGGAAGGCCGACCTGAAGCAGGAGCATATCTCCAATCAGAAGCCCTTCCTTCCTCCTCCAGAACTGAACAGTCGCCAGCCTTTCGCCCATCTCAATGTAGCAGCGGCCGACCAAGCCTCTGAAGTTGAGACACAGCGTGCACAAACCAAAAACTCAGCCTCCATTCAAGGTGATGGGTAGGCATTGGAAACGCTCATGCAGCAGTATCTGAAACAAAATTCGGCCCAACCTGTCGGACCTGCCGCAAGCTTATGCGGGTTTTGCCGGCCCTCCTTTGTTTCATGTTTCTGTCATGCGCAACATTCACATCGGACAAGAGACCCACTACGCAGCAGATGAGCAAACGGATCGCGACACCAAGTGTTCGTGCCTTGGAAGACGATTGCCAGAGCAAGAGAACCGTGCATCAGAGTGTCATCTCAGATATCTCTGCTAGTAACAGCCTGGCCATGGTACCAGACCACCATCCTTCTCACTCTTAGGCACAGTGAAGACGAGGTAGAGGACCGGGATGCCCGCAGTCAACCAGGCACCAGCCTCCAGATTGGGCGGCATAGAGCCGACTGACAGTCTTCGAAGGTTGGTGCACCGCCGCGCACTGCGTGCATCTGCGTGCTTGAGCTCCCCGCAATGGCTCGGACCGGCAACACCACGTAGTAAACGACGATGAGGCACGCTAAGTTGCCTGAGTTGGCATTATGCCTTGCCTGGTGCTGTCAAGATACAAACACTGCGCCTAACGCAAACACTTGCTTCCCGTGCTCGGCAGTGCTGGTGGCAAGTTGTAGTATTGAGAGAAGGAATGCTGCGCAGAGATTTATATTGGTGCGACAGTTCACTGCTCCAACTCGAGAACGGACTGAATTCTGGAGGTGCGCATGCAGGCGCAAAGGACATCACTGCCGGAAACTTCTGTCCTGTAACATGCTGAACATGCTATCTAGCTGCCCACCAAATTGGAATCCGACAGCAGTGCGCAGTATGCCAAGTCGGAGATCGCGGCGATGTTCGAAAAGGCGACTTCGATAGACTGGCAGAGACAAGATTTACAAGATGATGCAAGGCAGCTGGATGTTCCAGGCTTCGCATCGGAAGGCAAAAAGAAGGCACCTCACCAGCCAGGAAAGCAGCTCGAGATCGGTTCGAAACCCTTAGCTGCTCCAGGCTCCAAGAGATGCGAGAGCTCTTGCAGCAAGTGCAGAAAATAGTGCTGCCGCAGCATCATTAGCCCGAAGGATCCTGTGAAGAAGAGCCAGGGCACCAGAACCTCACGGGCGAGGCATCATGACAGAGCTGACAAGCCCGCATCTACTGCCCACTTGCACGCTCCTAGTCGCTCCTAGTCCTAGTCTCTCTTGCTGTGCAATCGCCTCAGGCAGCATGTTGCAGACCATCCCAACCGTCGAAGTGATGGCAACAATCGTCCTTAGGGCCATGGACTGGGAAAGGCATCACATGTGACTGCCGCGAGGGATGCCCTCATTTTGGGCAACCGTGCATGCGAATTCCGACCCGTCAAGCTGCCGGCTGCCTAAGGATTATTGGATGGCCTCAGGTATTTAGGCTTGCATCGCTTCAACGGTCAAATTGCATCCGGAATTCAGGCTTCCGACGTAGAGCTGCGCGCCGTTCGTGAGATTTTCGAAATCCTCAGTGCGAGGAGCATTGCTGCAAATCAATAGAAGGCGTGCATGTCCTCGACATGCAACCGTGAGCAGAGTGGAAAAACAAATGTTGTATTCATCCCTAGAAACGCGCGGCTGGACACGAACGAAGGCATGTCGTGACCCATGCGTTCCGAGCAGCCACCGTTGGGAGATCAGTAAGCACCACGAAGATATGCGCAACCTCAGCAAACGTTCGGTCCGCAAAGCCTGCTCTGGACGCCTCGGTCCTCCTTGCACATCCTTACGCAGGCCTTGCAAAGGTCCGGTCGGCTTCATGTCTTGCTGATCCTGCTTACTTCCATTATGGAATAAAGGCCTCACGGGAAACAAGCTCGTGGTTCTAAAGCGTAGCAGTCAGATGCAGCGTGTCGCATCATTGCAAGCTAGCAGCCAAGCTGACGAAGCAAATGCGACACATAACTTTCCGCAGCCTTAGATGCAAACAGTCTGCTCAAAGCATCTTCTCCAGTCTGATGTATTGAGCCGACGTCTGCAAGACACCGCAAGCATGTCAGCATCTTCAAAGTGGTGGGGTGGTGACACACAAGCAACCCGCAACCCTGCAGCATTGAGTTGCTGCGCCTCTGTCTCTTCTGCTGGCGATACTGCTGCTCCTGCAAGTGCGATCATCAAAGACAATCGACAAGAGGCTTGGAAGGCACTAGCAACAAAAAGATAAGTCGTGACAGGTCAAGCGTTGCTCGAAAGACCTAGCGGACATGACAAGCCCAAGTACTCTACACCCTCGGTTGCTACTTTGCAGGAAACAGCCCACTGAATACATTTGAGTACTTCTCTGAGCTTGGTAGTCTTATCCATCTGACCACTCTTCTGTCTATCACGATTCACCCTGATTTTACTGCATGTGTGATGTTTTGCTACCATTCTTTTCCTGGTTGGTACAGGTTGACAACCCCCTGCCTGGGGCTAAGGCTGATAGCAAGCCGACATTCCCGTGAAGACCCTTGCGGCTTAATCCCGTCGCATGGCGCGTGTGCTTTGCCTTGTCCGCATCTCGGAAGCACACCGGTATGCTGCCGCAGCATCGGGAGAGCCGCCGCCCTGAAAAGAAGCATGCAGGCACCAGAAGGAATGTTAGGCCTAGGGCAGCAGTAGCTGACACCGCTCGCGCTGGTCCCCCCACATCGCACGGCGGGTCTACAAAAAGCCCAGCGAGTGACAACAAAAAACGCAACCATCCACATCTGGAGCAACGCTGTGCGAAGTCCTGCCCGGCCTTTGGGGAAGAAGCTCACCGCTCGGCGCAATTCGGAATCCTTCACCGGTGGCAAGGTCGCGCGAACGCACTTCTACGGACCTAGATCTGCAACCGTCTCTGTCATCGCTACCGAGACAGACTCCGACGGAAACGGCCCCGGCCCGATCCTCGTCGTCAGCGTTGCCCTCAGTTCGCATGGAAGCTTGCGTAGCTTGCTCGCCAACCAGAGTACTTTCCAGATAATCCGAAACCCCTCTATTCTTGAATGTAAGAGCAGTGCGGGCATTCTTCCGACATAGCGGGACTTGTCACATGGGACTTGTCACATCCGTGGGGAAGCAGCCTTCCCTGATGCCGACCATACTGTCACTGTAATTCTTGTGCACTCTGAGACCAAGACCTTGAACTTTGTCTGGGCCGCATCCGTGGCTGCCAGGTTCCTCCATCCTCGGCTGCCTTCTTGATCACGTCCGGCACTTTCCCGAGATATGGGAGAGTGCATCCGTTGTGGGAGTTGACAAAATCAGCTCAGGCAAGCCCGCCCCATGGCCACAAGGGAGGCGGGGGCTGAGAAGGTCTTGCAAGGTTTGGGGTTTTGCGGGGAATGATGCCTTGCACGTGACGCTAACACCACGAGCAATGCAAATATGCAGGCATGTCTGTGACCGGTAAACTGGCGGCGGACAGACAGGTCAGAGCAACAAAATCACTCGCGGCAGCTGTCCAATCGGCAGTTTCATCCCATGAGTTTCTCAGAAGTACCTTTAACCACGTCGGTGCCAAGGCCACACCCCTCGCATGGCCGAATCTCCTTCCGGCATCGGCCCATGGAACCATCCGACCTAGAAGCCGGCAGAGGGCAGAGCTGAGCAGAGAGCAAGCACATGGGCATAGGCGGCATGGGCATGGGCTCAGCCTTGATCGTCGAGGCCGGCTGGAAGCAGAGACAGCCGCCTGCACAGGGAAGCCCTCGTGACTCGGCTGCTCGTGCCCGCTTGGGCCCGCTTCCACAAAGGCACCTTCCAGCAAGGTCCAGCCGCACGCAGCCCCGGAAGAAAACACCTGGCCAAAAGCAGCATTCCGGGCTTTGTGTAGAACTCAGATGCTTCTGTGACTGTGCGCCAGCCATGCGCCCCTTGCGGTGTGGTAACAACAGACAAAACATTTTTCGTCATTTGGTTGTGGGTTTGCTGGCATTCGGTTGTCTCTGTGGTTGCATCGGCTTGCTAGAACTACTCAACATTCCATCCTCCTGCATCTGCCTTCTGATACCACCACATGACTCTGTGAGGCTGTGATTTCTGCTTTTGCCGTGTGCTATGTGCCAACAACTCTGCCCTGATCTCTGTCTTACCCTCTCGCCACACAACTGGCACCTTCCTCGCAGAGGTCTTGCGACACATCGAAGCGGAACCTGCAGGGACAGACCATGTGCAGACAACAGACCGTTAGCCCGGCCAGGCCATGCAACCCCAGGCACCTCTCGTTACCGTCCTCCATCACGACGAACTTCGACATGCCAGGTTTCACCTGGCTGAAAAAATACACTCGGTAAAAACGGGTTGGCGTGTCAAGGAGAATCCCGACTGAGGTAAGACTGGCTTTTGCAATGGGGCATCTGGCAAACAGCACGATGTTGCCTCCTCGGAGAAGTACAGGTGCACGCGCATCCTCCAAGCTTACCAGCCGATTTCTCTGAGAATGGAGTGTGCATGCTCCGATTGCTCAAGTTTGCGTCCCCAGCCTGTCGATGGTGAGCTTGGAGACTGACATCATCGGCCAAGTCCACACTATGCCTAGAGCGCAGTACCAGTAAACATCCCCACTTGCTGGTCCGCTCAGATACAAAGCCGAACGACCCACGCGCTTGGGTCCACGCTTGGGGCAACATGATCCTCTGGGCGAGTCGTGAACACGAAGGAGAAATGCCTCGAGATGACAGCCGTGCGGCGACTCTTCCTGTCTCGCAATGCCGTGTGAGCGTGAATGAGAGCCCAGGCTGGTCGAAATGGCGCACGACCCCGGCTGGAAGCGTGAAGTTGTACCTCGGACGAGTCCGAGTCGAGAAGAGGATGGGCCCGGAAGCTTCCCGAGGTGCTGACGATGTTCCTGGATGTAAAGGCCGCAGAGGCAGCAGCATGATCTGCCCACAATGGCCAATGGTTCATGACTCCCGAAGAAGACAGGAGCTTGCACTTCACAAAGGGAGGGCTGCCTGGCTCCCCAGGAAGAAGACCCGCGAAGGATCAGCGACTTTCAGATGCTGCCTTAGATGCAAGCATGCTGCGCTGCATTCTGCACAAGACAATACTTGAGACCTTGGCTCGTCGGGAGTTTCCGAGGAGCCAAGGTTGATCTGTCGAAGCTCGGCCTGCAGTCCGAGTCTTGAGTCTCACTGTCATGAGAGTAGTTCATGCTAAGCTTGGAGAGAGAGACAGATCTCTTTTTATTTTTCCTGGAAGTTGCAAAAAGGGTGCGCAATCCGCAGTCCTCCAAGTCGCTGCTGGGATCGGCAAGCACCGACACACCTGACGGCGGCGCGGTCGCCCGAAAGGTTATCGAAACGTCCGTGCACACGTCCAACTGTTGACCAGGTCTCTCTATTTTCAGCGTTGCAAGTCATGCTGGAGATCGCGTGCTGCAGAGCCGAAGCAGGCCTTCGAACTGCAGCATCACAGAAGTGCTGGCAGCAGCCTCCTGCACCACATCGAAGAGATCCCCAACTGTGATCGGCAACTGAGACCATTCAGAACGGCTGGACCGCTTCCGGAGGCACTTATGGGTACTCCTTGAAGCCTTCATTGGAGGCGATGGTCGCCTTGAGAGAAAGGCGAGAAAAGTCTACCCTGAAGTCAACCGCATCTTGTCTCTGGAGCAAGCTGCAAAACTCGCTGCCGCTGGCCGACATGTCATTGTCAAGGCGCCTTCGGTGGCGGCAGCCGCGTGAAGAACTTCAATGCCTGTGGGCGACTCTCTTGCAGTTTCAGACTGCTTCACAGGTCAACAACCAACATAACTATGTAGAAGCCCTGGAACAACACTGAAGTTGGCACTCAAGGCCAGGCCCTTTTGAAATCTGAATACAAATCGCGTAGATCCCAACAATTCCACCTTGAACCGTAGCTGTGCTGCAAGCCTTGGACCAGAAATCCAGAAGCTGGGGCTCCAGGCAGCCCCTGCAAAACGGTGTGGCTCCGGCCACGTGGCCTGCTCGTATAACCAAAACCCAAATAAACTGTCATCGTCAACGTCAGTCGAAGACGGACTGCAACAGCAGGAGCAGGAGCAGGAGCAGCAGGAGGAGGAGGAGGACTCGCACCGGTGCTCACACGAGTACCAGTGCGACTATTAATCCTGGAACTGGCACTACTACCGCTACCACTGGGCCTACCACGACGACTGCCCGTGCGACCACCACCACCGGCTCTGGCTACGGCCACGGCTACTCTTACTGCTACTGCTGGAACTTCTACTTCCATGTGTGCCGCGGTAACGATCACCTACTGTCAGTGGCCTAGAACTACGTCGGTAGTTAGTCTCGTTATGTTTGGACATTCCCACGTTCAATGCTATTAGCTTTCAGCTTTCTGTCACCATCACAGCGATTGGGCCCGTGGCTAGATCGGCGAGCCCGGAGCCCACTTGAAGGGTATAGAGCTCGCCGGGAAGCAGTTCTGGAACCTGGCGTTTAGAGTCTAGAGCTCTGGGGGGGTTATATTCAGCACATCACAGTCAGCTAGGTACAGCTCTTCAGCTGGGCGTGCCCTTTTTAGGCTTCAACGCAGTTGCAGTTAGAGCATTTCTGCCTTCTTTTGTAGTCTGATCAATTGATTTGCGTTTCCCAGGCCAATGTCAGCATGCTTAGCAGTGAGTCGAAGCTCTCAGATGAGAGTCTGCAATAGCTTGGACAGCCGAGTACCCAGCGACAACCAGCACTCCGTCCTGCATCGTGCAGGGATCAGGGAAAAGTGGAAAAGCACAGCCAATGCAGGCACAGGCGACTGCGGTACTTGTCCTCCTCAGCAGTCCCGACCATGGCTGGAACCTGTGCTGACAGGCGCAGATCAGAAGAAAAGCGCCGACCTTCTGGCCTGTCCGACTCATTATGCCCTCATCAGCCCTTGAACCCTGAACCCTCAACACCCCTTTCGCTGCGGGACGTGGCCTGCTTCGGTGACAGCGGCTCCTGTGCACACGAACGAAAGCGAAAGCAGTGGCAGATCGAAATCATACGCCTCCTGTCCAGTCCAGGAAGTTCGAGACTCTAGCCCAAAAAATTTGCGCTTGGGTCCAGGATTCAGGACAGGAATATTCAGGTAGGACTGCAGGGCTCCTGGTGTAGATCCATCTTCCCTGTCGCTGCTTTCCCGCAGATCCCCCCTTTCAGGACTCTTACGGCCCTCACAGGCGAGCATTGCCTGCACTGCAGATCCATGAGAGCATTTGATCTCTCCTACCTCGCTCTCCCGGTCAACGTGTAGGCCCGCATGGCTGACATGGTTCATTAAAGACGATACTAAGAGACCCACAGGGACTAGAAGGCATGTGCACGTGCACCACTGGCACCAGACCCTGAACCCTGCATGAGAACTTGCCCTGCACCCGCAGCCTTCTCCAACGGCTCGGCTGCCAGCGCCGCTGCGTTTCCTGGGAATTCCGAGCAACATGGTCCTCCCCCCCACCACGGTTTCAATATTTTTTGAGCACCTTCCAGAGCGCAGAACAAGAGTGAGAGTAAGAGGCATCACCGGCAACACAGCGTGTGAAAGCTTTGGACTGGTTCTGTACTGTGAGTCTTCACTGGTGGCTCCGTGAGCGAATCTCTCAGCTCGGCCCAGCGCGTCCGAGGATCTGCACCTGGCAAACCACCCTTTTGCTTTGCTAGGGTGCGCGCAACTACAACTGTCGCAGCGGCATTGAACATGCAGTCGGCCGTGTGACTTCACTACAGAGTTTGCACGAATGCAGTCAAAGCGGGCTGCCTACCGAGACCTATTGCCATTTTAGGGACATGCCGCGATGAGAGAACCATCCTTGCGCCAAACTTAGGCTTATTCAACTGCTGTAATCTGCTGCCCTCGTCACCGGCTCCCGGAAGTAGAAGCGGAAGCGGGCGCCGGCGGGTATTGCAGGGGGCGGAGCCTTGAAAGAGGAAAGAAAGCATAGGCAAACCATGGCAACCCACAAAGGGTTGGCTTTGAAATGTTCTTCGCTGCTTGAGGCAACGGTATGTGACTAAGTGTTTCAGTTCTGAGGGCACCGCGTTTTCGGCCAGCCTAAGTGCCGGTGACACCGGGCAGGAGAAGCTCGGTGCCCTCTCTCTCTCTCTCTCTCTCTCTCTCTCTCTCTCTCTCCCATCTATGGTCAGTCAGCTGAATAGGCAATATGGACGTCCCATACAGGGCTGAAGCTGCAGTCACCAGCGGCTCCCTCCACCCGCAATGCCCGCAACTCCAAAACAACAGCTTTGCTGGCTAGCCAAGGCAGCGGCCCCCACTTTTCGGCCTCCCCGACGATCTGCTGTTGCAACCGATGCCACACTGCACAGCCTGGTCACACATCTTACTCGGATGTCTGAAGAAATCCTGAAAAAACTTGGGTGGGGCCTGGCCAGTCTTCGGGCTCTCCAGGTACAGAAATGTTGGAGCAATCCTCGGCGAACCACCGAAAGCAGAGTTCCGGTGAAATCTTGCAAAAAGCCAGAGGCCCAAGTCGTCCGGCCGAGGCCACCACCACCTCCACGGCCACGAGCTCGGGAGGCGAGCGGTCGAAGACGTCCTTTTTGCTCTTCTTCGAAAACTTCCCCATGCCAGGCACTAAGTCAACAGCGATCCCCATTCCATCAGACCGCACCGAGATCTTGCGCTTTTTTCAACAGACACATGCAGATGTCGGCCTTTACCGATCTCTCGAGGCCACTCGGCTGCAAAAGCCATCGATGGCTAAATCTCTTTGTGCAAGCCAAGCAGCATCTGCTTTCCAAGATGCCGAAGGACCGGGAGGTCCGGGATTTCGAAGAATCCCAATCTTCCGAACAAAGTTCAGGAATAAAATCGCAACTTGCGAGATTTTCACAGTAAGGACCAATGAAACGCGACTTAAACCTCTAGACGGCCCAGAACTTCCGGCAAGCCCAGTGCATCCAATGTCTCTTTGGCCAGATCATAGATGCTAGCATCGGGATGCCTTAGAAGCGATCTGCAAGGAGGCTAAGCCGTTAAGCTGAGGAAAGGTCCAAGTCCTTCCAAGCTGCTCCTCCTGCATCTTCAGCACGGCACATTCCAGGGTGTGCCCCTTGCGTTTGATGCCTGCAACTTGGAGCTTCATCTTCACAGCCTCGGGCCGCGGGTCACCGGGGAAGGGGTCTCGGTTCGCTCGCAAATGATGCGCTCACTGAGTGGAGTCTGCCAAGAAGCTCGCACTGCCTGCTGACCAAGCTTGTTGCCCTTGAAAGCATCTTTGTCCAGGCGTGCTCTTTCCTTCACCGGGAACCAAGCTATGCAGCGCCAAACTTGTGGCCTTTTGAGAGACATCGCACTTGCCTCGAAGCTCTCGTCGTAGAAGGTCGCGCGAGCGAAGGTAATGCAAAGCTGGCCTGATTCGCCTGGAACACGAAGCGTACCGTGCCTAGTGACTTCCACGGTGCCAGGAAACCTCTTCTCAAGCTCCTCCTGTAAATCTTCGCGATTCTGCAATGTCACGGGAGTTTCCCAGTCAACGTAGTAATCCTGATCGGAAGTAGCGAGGTCCGTCTTTTTCGCCCGACTTCCAGCGATAACGACCTGGGCTTGGGGAGCAAAAGCTTCCTTGGTGGCCTCGATGACCTTGACTGTGTCCCGGCCTGAGGCACTCTTTTGCTCGGGTGATCTGGATGCCGCATGATTAGTCTCATACTCAAGACGACCTGCTTGCTGCCGCTCTGCACGAATGGCAGCATATCTCTCCTCCCAGTCATCGGGGCGACCATCGTAGCCGAGCTTTTGCCAATACGCCTCATTGTTCCCGTTGTGCTCGTCGGATCGCCGGTTGGAGCGACTTTGGGGCCGCTTAGCTGCAATTTCCAAGAGCTCTTCCAAAGAGAAGGAACCCCACCCGAAACTTGGCCGGACCATTGCCACCTTCGGTAGCCGCATCGAGCAGAGGCACCCTAGGCACCCTACGAAGACCAGCAGCCTCCGCTTCATGTCCCGCCGGGCTGGCTCGAAGTTCCGCGAAGAGCCGAGCCGACGATGGCTCCGCAAGCTGACGGAGACTGGTGCATTCAAGCATCCAGCATTTGTTGGGATGCTGCTAGACCTGCCTCAGCGTGGATGTCTCGACTGTTTAGGGGCTGCGTTGGCATAGGAAAACGTATCGCGGTCTTCAGCTAGGCAAGCCTAGCCCGATACATGCTTACCATGCAGGAGATGAGACTCCACGGCCGTGGCGATGAGGCGTGTCGCAACAGATTCCCGAGGCTAGCTGCTTGAAGAGATGTCCTGTGTTGCAGTAAAGCCCACAGCTTGAGTGCTGTAAGCCCTCGCAATGCCAGAAAACAAATCCGGGGTTCGTGCTTCTGCAAGGACAGAGAAAGTGTACTGGAACTGGCCGGCAGCAGTTGCACCTGATGAGGCAGCTTTGCACGAGCTGTTGCAAGAAGCTGGCCGACAGTGGCAGATTCCAGCCCGATCTAGTTTTAGCATTCCCCGTTCTCAGCATCCGGCGTAGCCCTTCGAAGTTCGAAATCACGCCACTCTGGATGGACACCTTCTCAACAGACGCCGTCGCTGCGAAACATGTCGAGTCATGACACCTCGAGAGTCTGGGGAGCCCGCATTGTATGAGAATCCCGGCACAAGATCCTCCGGTGGATTGATGATCACCTGACAGCCACTCCAGAGCACTCACAGGACCCCAAGCAACTCGTCCGACCTTGTCCCCGACGAAGAGCATATCCTCAAGAACACAAAGGGAGAAGCTTACTGCTCCGGAGGGTCGCATCCGGCTCCTTGTGCTGGAACGTCAGCTTGAGCGGGCAGACATCATGAACAGTCCAGTTCCAGCCTGAGAAAGGGCCAACAGAAAGCAATCCAGAGCTGAAAATCTGGTCAAGGTCCGGGGTTGAGGGTAGACTGAACCCCACCTGGACCGAACATCTTTACAAACATGTTGCGTGCTCTATGCTGCTGCATCAACACCCGCTCAAATGCTTTCTGAAGGTCATCATAGCAGAGCAATGCTGTGCTAAGTCCCAGCAAAGCTCCATGACGCTGCCCATGGGGTGCGGGCTGACCTTAGTTGCGCTCCCTGCATCACACTTCATGGTAAAGGCCACAGCTCGGGCTGATGCCACGGAGCTGAATTGCAGAACCAGGTTCTCGTGCCTGCACAGCATCACTGCGCATCACTGCATCTGCGAGCTCTCTTTGATGGAGGCAAAGGCTGCCGAGCGAAGTGCCTGAAGATGGCTTGCTCGGGAGCCGGGTAGAGAGCCCAAGTCAGCTCCGGAGGCCGCGGCTCCTGGCAAGACGCCACGACCCCTTCAATCTACCACGAACACACGCAACGCTCATACAAAAAAATGTCTATATACCTATATATCTCTATGTATGTGTATGTATCCATATACCTATATCTATATACCTATATACTTATATACCTATACATCTGTACATCAATATATCTATATACTCAAAAATCTATACACCTAAATATCTAAGAATATAAAGATATACATAATAGGAAAGCAACTCACAACATAAACCGAACATAGTGTGACATGACGATACATGTCGTGGGGCATGAGATACCTTGATAGAATCTAAGATGCCGCGGCTCTGTGTGCATCAAGAAAATGGCCCAGAATATACCAATGCAGCGGTGCAGTAGTGTCTGATGAAGAGTCATAACATCATGACTTACCTGTTTGTAAGGAATTTCCACATAGAATATCAAGACCTGCCCGAGCATGGGATGATGGGATGGCTGGCCTGGACTCCTCCCTGTGCTGGCACCTGCAGTGCTGTGGCTCGTCACGTTGCTTCTTTCGCATTCAGCCTGCCTAACCTTCTTGTCGTCTCGAAATGATTGAAGCAGTTAGAACAGCTCTCGAATACGTTGTCTTCTTAGTCTCGCAGCAAGATGAAGCTCAGCAAGATTTGCTGACGGCATGGACACACACACAGTGGCATGTCAAATCATGTCATGCTAGTACCGCAGAATGTCATGTCATGTCACGTCATACATGCCACGTGAAGCATGCATTTATCCGCATGTGTCCGTGTGTATGCAGGCTGCAGCGTATGTATGCTGCTCTAACTCAGCAGGTTGCTGCACGGACCTGTTTAACAAGGTTTCAAGATCGAGATTCCTCTGCTCATGGGACCATCAAGAACCTTCGTCTTTGCTTCGAAGAGCGCAGTGCTGCGGCATTTGCCGACGCTTCGCATGCGGTGCACAGAAGCTTTGCGGATGCATTTGACTCGTTTTTTGTCATGCATGCGAGATCCGCCCACATTCACCAAACTATTTAATCATGATTTATTGCAGGTCCTCGTGCGATCATGATGTGTTGAAGACAGTCAGTGCCGGTCTGCTACTGGGACACGGGTAGGCTCCAACACCACCCTAAGACTCCTAACTCCGCCTAACGTAAGGGTGGACCACACAGAAGAGTGAGGGCAGCCGTCCTGTGGCTTGCCAGGACTTTTGATAATCAAAATCAATACAACGCTGGCTCATAAAAGCCATCAGCATCATTGTTGGGACGGATAAACGCCAGTAGGGACAGAATCTGCGCTAGCCTCAGTACCCTGCTATGGAGATCAACGTTGATGACATGATTGTGAGTATCATTCTCAGCTGTGGCTGAGATGTGGGCTCGCACAGTGAAGTCGTCCAGCCCGAAGATTGGCCCATCCGGACAGCGCCCCCGGAACTTGGCTCGCGCGTGATCAAGCGAAATGCAAAGCAAATCAAGGAAATTGGGGAAATGCGGATACAAAGTCTATGGCGAGAGCCCGTGCTCAGTTTGCAGGCTGAGGCTGTTGCACAGGAGACCCGGTGCTCCCACTCTCCTGGCGCCTGGATTGTTCCACAATCCCAATAATTAGCTTCACGAAGGCAAGGCGGGACCGTGCCCCCGCCTCGTACTCCTTGGAGCTGTGGGCCAAGTTGCCGCGACGGTCCTCGAAAAGTTCGAGCCGAGCCAACACTTGCCTCGTGTACTCCAGTAAAGACCGACAACGGCTGCAGCTGCTGCGCTTGTCCTGGAGTGCCCCGGGGCCGAAGACCACCTCGTAGCTGGCACCTAAGAACGTAAGTTCTCAGCCACCTTGCATGGCAGATTGCGTCAGATGATCCAGAAAGCGAGTTCCAGACCCATTTCCAGGCTGATGCTGGGGCGCACGGTTACCTCAAACAGGTCCAGGCACGGGGCATGTTAAGGGTTGTTGCCAGTGTCCACACCGGCATCCTGTTTCTTCAGCCAAGCATTGGGGGGTAATATTTAGAAAATGAAGACAACTTGTCAAAGCGGCCACGAAAGCTAGGGGCAGGTAACTGCAGCGTTCCGATGCATCGCAGGGGTGTCAGCTGAAGATTCCGCAGATTAAAACAGGAAGACCTTAAGCTACAGCCTTAAGTACTCCTGTAGTACCTGATATGGTGTCGGATCCTATCTCAGCACCATAAGTCCATACGGCATCGGCATCGCAATCGACATCGCCCTGCCTAACACCCAGCACATCAACAACATCACCATCACCATCATCATCGTCGTCATCGAGATAGTCATCGCCAGCATCATCATCACCATCACCATCACCATCACAACCACCACCAGCACCACCACCACCACCACCATCATCGTCATCATCGTCATCCCGGTCTGCATCACCACCGCCGTCATCGTCACCATCACCACCACCACCACCATCATCTTCATCATCGCGAAAGCTAGCTCTTTAGGAGCTTGCTGGCCAAATTTTCTTCCGGGTGGTGCCAGTGCACTTCCCTGAGGATAAGGCCATTCCGGGCAGGTATGGGTGCTGCACGATCTCAGGCATCATATCCACTACCGCGGCGGGACCTGCCGTGGGCTTGCCATCAACTTCCAATGTCCTACACGCCTCTCCCTGCCCGCTGCGCTCTGTGCGCAAGGCACTCTTTCACCGACCCTTGGACTCGCACCTCGCTCTTGGTCCGCCAGACGCACCACGGAAAGTGGGCCAGGGCCACGCAGGGCCACCTGATGAGACGGAGACGAAAGGATATCAGTCTTGCTTGAGCGTGCTGCAGCCTGAGTTCAAACGCAGGGGTTTACGGAGCCTCATCGAAAAGGAAATGGAACTCCGTCATCCTCGTCAAAGCCCCGCTGAGCCTTGCAATCGGCTCAAGACACGGGGACCTCAACTCTGCACACGTGTTCGGAAGCGCAGTCCCAGGCGGATTGGTGGAGGTGGCGTCCACGAGACGCGGCCCGGATGCGTCCTCGGTGGCCTCGGGAGCCGTGTGAAAGAGGCACCTAGCCGAATGGCACCAGTAGCCATTCTGGGGCCGCGGGCATTCTCTGGATCTTCCGTTCTTAAACGTAGGCCGTGGACGGGAGAAATCTGTCAGCATCTCACATCATCCAGCAACAACCGGAAACATCTAGAAGCCATCTTCTGGGCCAGCGAAGCAAGCCGGGTTCAAGCCTTTTTGCCGCTGGCTATAGAAATCCATATCCCGGCAAAAGAGCTTCCAAGTTGTTCCAGAAGCCTTGTCCGTGTCTCCCTTCTAGCACTCCTCCCGTATGAGAATCTCCCCAGAGGCCGCCAAGCCGTGGGAGCCATATTGGCTCTCAGACGGCTCTGCTTCGCTTCGCGGGAGGTTCTGCATCATCCTGAGACAAGAAGGGATGGGGATACCCCGTGTCGAGTCATCAAGGTTCCAATGCAATCGAGCTTCTTGCGCTTGTGCCTGCAAGCACTGGACATAGGTTTGCATAGTGCCTCGCAGACCCGTCACACTGGATGCAGAAGGAGGCCAGTTTCACAGCTCTGGTGTGCACCCAGGCGCCTAGATCCCAGCGCATCCCCTCGATGAGGACCCCAAAGATGCCTGCAAGACTTTGGACGAAGCTCTCGCTGTTTGCTCTCGGCTCGCATGCGACCTTCAGACTGGCGGAGCTGGTCCAAGGCCTCGGTGAAGTGACCGGCCTGGGATGCGGAGTTTCTGCTTGCGGTGGCGTCTCCGTCTCGAGCCCCAGCCTTGGAGGAGCGCAGAGCTCGGAAGACGCTGGGTGTCAGCACGTACTGGCCGAAGGAAGTAAGGAAGAGCCCTGCAGGCAGCTCGGCGTTACAGAGCACATGCAGTCAGCCACGCATGCCCGGCCCTCTGGCAGGACGGACGTCACCAAGTGCTCCTCGGCAAACTCCCTGTCAGGCAGGTGGAGGACTTCCGGAAACGACCCCGCGACCCCACGGGCGCCTGGTGGGCTTCTCAGCTAACCGAGCCAACCTCAGAGTTCGGGTCTGGTGCCGCCATGCGCCACCGCACGTCTACCATGAGTTGTCGACTGGGTTTCTAGACACAAGCAATCCGTTGGCGTTATTCTTGCCGTTGATGGCTGGGGAAGGACAACAACCGGAGGTGCATCTGGACCTCACCGAACGAAACTTCTTCCGAGCCGCGGCCACAGCGCCTTCACCGCCCCAGGCGTTTTTGGACCAAGCGGTGCGGGCAGTGGCGATGGAGGCTCCTTTCAGAGACATCGATGCAGCAGGTGCTGTCCACTGCAATTCCGGGCTCCTTGCATGTGTAGACGCCAGTCTGATGGAGCCTCAAGAGCAACGAAGGAGCGGCACAGTGACTAGTGACTATAGTGCCATCAGGCCATTGAATTCTCGGATGGCGACGAGTCCTTGTCCACGCAGTGCATGGCAGCCTCTAGAAAGCACTCGCAGACTCTCGTCTCGGATGCAGTGCTTGTGGCTCGGCGGCTTGCGGAGGCCGAGTCCCAGACTAGAGGCCGTCCATTGAAGGCCTCCAAGAGCTGCGCAACCACGCTGCGATGATCCTGAGGACAACAGGACCCGCACAAAGTCATGCGCTCGCCGCTCGCCGTTCACATCGAAGTCTCAGCGCCAAGCGGACGATGTCGACCGACTGAAGTGATCACCCCAGGCAAGGAGGAAGGGCTCGCCAGAGACCTAACCACTGCCCGAGGCACAACTTGGTCAGTGAAGCAAACCCACTCACCACACTCCATGTCGAAACTGCTTCCCGCCGAACTCCAACCTGCTCCAATCTGCACTACTAAGCCACGCCAAACAAAACTTTGCTCTGCAACCTAGAGGTGCCTCTGACACTGTCGACCAGGGCACCGCAAAACAAGAATCCAGGGGATCTTCTACTCCTCCCTTGGGTCCATCTGAAACCATGACCAAGCATGCTCGAGTAGAGCTGCTTATCTCATTGCAATTGTGTTCCCTATACGTCACGACAGCCCACAGCAAGACAGGCCTCGCGCTCGCAAAGGAGCAGCGCATCACGAATGCTGGAGGGCTTCTCCTTCCATCTCTGCAGAAACAACGAAAATATTATCATGCCATAGCTCCATTGGCTGCATTCACCCAAACCTGGCAACCTTCTTACCGGGAATGATGAAGCCATTCCTAGTTTCCCCACCTGCCGCACGAAAGAAATCTTTTTGCCTGCGAGGTCCAGTCGGTAGTCATGCTTCATGTGTGCAGAAACATTGCCCTTCCAACTCACACCTTGGCAAGCGCAACAGGTCTGGCCTATGGATAGGAGCACCTCGTCGTAGTCCTCAGGGCGAGAGGATCTGTGAGGATCTGCGCAAGACGATATGCGGGGATTCATTCTCGGGTCCTCCATGTGCATCCCCACTCCGTTCAGCACAGACACCTCGAAAGACTTACTTTGTCATGTAAAGTCTATCGGCAGTACAACGATAGTGATGGACTCTCCGTCAATCCGTCGAAAAGTTGAACAGTCAGTACCGTGTCGTCCAGCCTCCTCGCGCTGCTTGAAGAGCTTTGTCATCTCCACTTCGGTCGTGTGGTTTACCACCAGCAGGATCTTTTCCTAGGCACGCATACGTACCACTGGGCAGTGTGGCCGGTACCATCGACGAGAGAAGCTGCAAGGCCATGCACAAAATGCAGCCAAAAAAATGCGGACTCGCGTGGGCCCAAATCCTGTCCCAGCTGCAATGCCGGCAGCAGACATCTCTTCGCAAAGCCTGGGATCCAGAAAGGTCCCTCGATCACTAGGACAGCCAACACAAGATCTCAAGCTCACTGCTGCCAAGGTGCCATGCGATGGCCGGTTTCACCAGCCCCCGGCTGCGAACTGGAAAAAGCCACCTGAAGATGATGCTTGCTGTCGTTGTTGTGGCATAGCATCTCTTTCTCCGCAAAAATCAGATCTCCAACTGCGTTCTGAAACTGCCGTACCCCCAACTCCAATGTAGCACCTGCTGGACTTTTTCTGCTTCTGTATGATGCCAGATCATTTCGCATTCTGGCATGACATGTTCTTCCGAGTAGACCTGCTTTGACCGTTCAACTACCAATCCCACCATCAGGACCCCGTCCCCCGACGTCGACTAGCCACGGCCCGACGCACTTCGTGGCGGGCCAGATGCCAGGGCAGGCACCTGACAGGTCGGGGCCTACACCGCGAGCGTAAATATGGTCAGCTCTGACATACACACAAACTGCTAGTGCATCGCACTGCGCTGCTGGATGTGGAGCCTTTGTACGGTTGATTCTTCTGAGATGCAAGGTTGAAGCAATCAGATGCCAGTACACAAGACAGTTGACCGTGTAGTATTGACGGCTCTGTTCACCAGAGCCAGCTTGTGATGCTAGTCACGCTAATCACACCTGATTGGTTAGAGTGTATCCTTCCTGACAACTGAATGGGGCAGCACGGGTGCGCCTGCGATTGGAACAATCGCTGTGCGAACTGCCTTCTGCCTCGCCGCACTCAGTACCCGAGTAGGCTAGACAGCACACGCTACTCCACCGCAGTGTGTCAAACGGCGAAAGCGTCGGCGATGCTCGGGTTTGGAGGGACATGGGCGAAGAATTGAGTTTGCCTTTACTAAACATATTTGGAACACAGGGAAGCGGCGCTTGACTTCAGGTTGCACACGGGCGTTGAGAAAGTAAGGCTAGCATTTGGTGCTGCTTGTGCTTCGCACGGGACGGGATGGCTTCCACATTCCAAGAGAAGAGCAAGCGCTGATCCTGTAAAGCCATTGTACAGGCGTGACGCCAGGCCCAAGTGTGGCAAACGGATAGAGCGCAAAGGCATCATCACCACCACCAGCATCATCATCATCAGCAGCAGCAATCCGGTCATGCATCCAGCAGCATCACGTTCTCGAGAAAATCAGTGAGGTACTGAATCTGAAAAACACTCAGCCTCTTGCTGGCTCTGTCTGGGAAGCCACGAGACCAAGGCTCCAAGGCTCGGGCTCGGGGATGGTGAGCTCCAGGGGCTCCATGCCCAAAGACTTCACAATCCTCACCACCTCCTCCTGAGGCTTGAGCTGGGTGCACTGGGCATTTTGGACGGAGCTCAACAATTAGATATGATCTAGCCGATCTAGCCTTTGCCATGTTCGCAAAGGCAGCAGTCTTTCGGACAGATACCAACTCTACCACCAACACCAAAGTCCAAAACGGGACAGAAAACACTCAGCTAGGATCCTGGTCAGCCTTTGACCGGCAGACAAGCTGTGCAGAGCCATCACCCTGGGAGCCCACCTCGAGAATGGGGCATGCGGCATGCAGAGCCACAAGAAATGTTGCAGTCATTGCTGCATTGCATGAGGCTGCTGCCCCCTTACCTCCGGTGATGTACTTCTTCCTGAGCTTCCCAGCAACAATGCATTCTGGCGGGCATACTTTCCTGCATCGAACCGATGATAGAAACTTGTAAAATTCCAAAATGGCATTTCAAACCATCTCTCCATGACTCTGGAAGTCGGGCTTTGCCGTGCCAAGATTCAGCTCCGGGTATGTTAGCAGCCGATGCAAAGCAGGTGCCTGGCAAGGTGCCAGGCGCAGTCGGATGCGCTATACAATGCTGTCATCTCATAATCGAAGGAGGAAGACATTGAGGGTTTGTCTGGTTCACTGGTTCACAGAAAGACGCCAAATGGCACCTTTGAGCCTACGGCTGCCACTACTACGGCTACTGGCACTGCTACTGCCACTTCCACTGCCAATGCCACCGCTGCTCATGAAGAGGTCAGTCCATACCTATGGATTGAAATCCTTCTTGATTTCTCATCCTGGTTGGTAAGACGTGGCGCGGCGAAGCCGTCTTGCTTGAGCCGTATATGCCCGTGACAAAGCCTGTTGTCGTTCAGACGACCTGGTCCAATCTCGCGGCACAACAAACCCAGCACCATCACCACCTCACTGCCACCACCAACAGGAGCATCGGCACCTCTGCTGTCTTTGGCACGCCTGTGCTCTGAGCGAGCACTTCTTCTGGCGGAGCCAACACTGCAATTTGCTGAATATGAGCAACGGTCTGACACACATCTGCAGGAATCACGACAAAACGTCGCGTGCGCACCGTCAGCTCGTGTGGGCAGAGAGGGACTGCGATCTCATCCCACCTCCGCTGCGCCTCTGTCATGGCCTGGGCTGAGCAGAGATTTCACCATGGACGCCTTGTCCTGACAGTTTCAGAAATCAGAAAATCCTCATCCCCGCCTCGCCGAGTTTTTCTGCTGCCACACGGCCATCCTGGCGTGCGGCGGAAGCTTCCGGGGTCGCCTGATGCTGCCCGGGGCAACAAGGCCTTCTCCTCGGCGAGGATCTTCTGCGCGTCCTGACCTGGGCCACGACGGAGCCGACTGCCTTTCCTCGCTAGCCGCTAGCCCTTCCAAGCAGCTGGCAGACACGCTGATTCACCTCCCCAAGAAGTGCATGCAACGCACGGTCCGAGTCGCCCCGAGGAAAGGGGTATGCCTTCAAGCAGGGCAAAGCCCGGCACAGCCAAGTCCCTGGGACCATTTGAAGTGCATGCTACAGTATCTGCCCTCGCGGAAAGGCCTCGTTGAGACATTTCAGGATCTCTTTGGTATCCTTTCGGCAACTTCTCGACGACACAAAGTATTTGGCTGAGATCAGCTTCACTTGTGTCCTTCTTTGCACAAAGGTCCACCACGACCATGTAGATAGTGGCAGCAGCCCGTACCTGAAAAATCGTCTTTTAGCGCTTGACCCTTCGGAACACTGAGCCGGGAGGCACCGACTCCGTTGAAAGCAAGTCGGAATCAAAGATCATCTTGGTCACCTGACAGCTCAGCGGAATGAGCCCGAGCGTTCCATGAAAAGGAGAGTGTAGAGCAAGCTGTCGGTAGCTCTTCAGCGGGACAGAACTGACACGGCTCCAGCCTAATGCAGAAGCTTGGGGCTTTGAGGTAACAGCTCACGAAGGCGTTCCAAGGTTGATGCTCTGCGTCCGAAGGCCACGCATTGATCCAGGCGACCACAGCGCGACGGAGTGTTGATCTAGGCAGGGGACAAGACAGGGCAGCTTCCGAAGTCCCGACTCTTTCAAGCATTCCCACACCTCACCACGGTAAGCGATGTCCATCTCTCCATGTGTAGTCAGCTTCAAGTCCTGAGTCATAGCTGCGGTATCAACGGAGCCGGTCGGAACCGCGAGGTGAAGCAGCAGGACGAGGCTGCAGTAGGGCATCCACGTAGAGCTGGTTGAGGGCTCTGACGATGAGAACGCAAATGGCAGCAGATGATGAAAGACCCTTCCTCGGCAAACGGGCAAAAATTCCAAGATACCTGATGTTGGCTATACCTTGGTTGAGAATTTTCAGCCACCCTGATAGGCTGGGCCGCAAGGAAATGCAGCCGATGCCAACAGCTTCTTCCATCGGTTTGCAGATTTGACTACGTCGAGCTCCCATTCCGTTCCTCATAATGTCCACAGTACAGCAAGTCCTCCACACCCCTGCTCCTTGCCTTTCTCGTTTTCCCTTTCCACGAGGCTCTGCAGTCCCACTGTCTAGCCAAAGCATGCACCAGCCCTGACGTGCAGCCCAAGCTCTTGATCGGAAGGTCTGACTTGTAGTTCACGATCTCCGCACCACCGACGCGGAAATGCTTGCCAAGTTCCAAGACACAGCCTGTGAAATGCTCTATGTTCGGTCGTGGACAGCTACGGCAGCTACGGCTGATAACGAACCATGGGCCACGAATCTGGCACTGTGCCAGATGCACGAGAGAGGCTGCATGCTGCACTCGTCTGCGATCGGCCTGCTATGTAAGCAAACGTCGACGGGGATTGCGCCGTTTCCTTGGTCATCTCGCAATAGCGAACACGCTAGAAAGTGTAGACTAACATTGATATGGATCCCCTGATTTGTGGAGGTCACATCTTTCCGCCACGAGTGAGGAGAGACAATGCCACGGGCAAGCAGGCCACAGGAGGCGAGTAAACAGACCTGTTCACAACGACACTTTTTCGCCACACAGGCAAGAAGTGAACGAAGCCGCGGAGAAAGTTACGACATGGCACAACTACCGTGACAGCTTTCGGAACAGCTTGGCAAGTGAAAGCATTGCTCAGGGGGCTTTTAAGACCTACTTCCTTCTTCCAGTCAGTGGAAGCTCCGGACTGTCGCAGAACACATAGCTTCCGGCTGTACTTGAAGCAGAGCGACACGCAGCCCGGTCTCGTCGTCTAAGTCAAGCTGGATGCTGGTCCCATCAGAGGAGCGGTAAAGCCTCGGCGGAACACAGCGAACTTCGGTCAGACTAACTGGCATCTGCCGACATGCACTGAGCGGCCCACAGCCTCCGACTGCCCTCGCCGAGCAGACGGCGGGCTCGCGCGTAGAGCCCTGGCTGGTCAAAGGGCAGAGAGACGAAGGCACGGTAAGTAAGAGAGAGAGAGAGAGAGAGAGAGAGAGAGAGAGAGAGGCAGAGCTGCGGCCTTGGTCCGTTCCACAAACCAGGGCACAGCCGGGCACGACCTCCGAGTTAAAGCGGCGGTAGCCTCCCGAGTGCCGAGGCCTCCGACGCCTTTTAAGCTATTCTAAGCCTTCTCGACCCTTTGTACGGGATGAAGCATGTTTAGAGATGTGAACGGACTTTCATGGACTGAGTGGCAGATCTGCATGGCACGCACAGCATATCGGTCTTGCCTCGTAGTTACAAATCCGCTCTGTATGTGTTTGGTTTCGAGCTTTGTCCTTTTCTTGCCGTCCTTTCTCGCAGGATGTGAACCGTTCACGCTTGCTGCTTGCCCAATGTACCTGTTGGAAACGGAGGCCTCCGGCCCAGTCGCTGTGCTCTCCGAAGAGGCAAATTCTCCCCGTGACGAAGAGCTCGATTGTCCTTGAGAGGCTACCGACGTTTCTAACTGGGCAGTCAGCATCTGTCCCCTCGTTCCTCGTTCCAGAGCTGTTGCTGCCTGCTTCTCACGTGAACCCTTTGCAGCAAAAACCTATCCTTAGGCCTTGCTGTGTGCATCTGCAGCGAAACAATCAATGCGAACATGCTGAGCGCGTGGCTGCTCATCGCTGCTTTCAACCATGGGATTAAAATCGAGCTTCGATCAAAAAACGATCAAAACGAGTTTGCTTTGGAACAATGCTGAGAATCGCAACGAATCTATGTTGTCTCTAGTTGCTCGAGCTGGGCAAGCAGACAGTGGTTCACCTCTTGTGGGTGTGATGATCGACTGCTCGTAGCCTATCAGCATGGTAGAGTCTTTGGACACGATCACTTGACATGTGAAGCAAGATGCCTGACAGCTTTCGGTGCTGCAATGGCTTGCGGCATGGACACAACAGCCAGAGGCAATCCAACTGTCCTTCCAAGCGATCAAGTTCTGTAAGGCTTTTAACTAAGAGAAGGGCTCAACCATTCAGCGATGTGAGTTTACAACCACCATCTACTCAGGAATGGATTCTCCACGCACCCTGCCCCAGGAAACCCCGGCCGGAAAAATGGTAGTGTTCTGGTGTAGGAAGCACTCGCCCTGCACAGTGACCTGGCCGACAGATCACACACGAGGCTGCAGGCACCACCCAGCTTGCTGCACTCTCTCTCTCAGAGGTGTGGCTACAATACGCCCCTACTGCGGCCTACGCTCACTGCGTCAGGAGCATGTGCGGCCCTCCACAGACATGATTCGGATGCCCTGTCGGCCAACTCGATGGGCACCTCGTACTCCATGCCGAGAAGCAGCCTCAAGCCCACAAACAGTGCGGGAATCCGTCAGAAGCAGAAGCCGCTGCTCACTGCCCCTACCACAGCAGCTGCTTTTTGGGTCCAGAACTCTCTCGCCTCCACGTCAGGACTCTTGTCTACACTACAACGTGAAAGAAGCACGGGCAGTAGCTCCCAAAACTCCATTTGGGGAAGAAACAGATGCAGTTTTCCAGATATGGCTCAACAGAAGAATGGGCTTATCTTTCAGAGGGAGCTCCTGACCTCTGGGATGTGTGCAACCAAAACGAAACAACGGGCCGCGACTCTGGAGCCAGGGTCCGATGAGTAAAAGCAGAATACACGCCTTCCCAGCATGGCATGTGAATCTCTGCGTATTTAGGACCCTCTCCTCGAGCGACTCTGGCACTGCATCGCTAGGAAGAGGGAGCACATCACAGGGCAGAGTGTGTTTCACATCCGGATCACCAGTTTCGTCAACTGTGCGACCTGCAACGTGATCCCTCGGGGACTGCCAACGGCGTCCCTGCTTACCAGCTGTCATCGCAAAGCTGAGAGTTGCCCTGGTCCTGGCGCCGCAAGCTTGTCCACTGCCCGCGGCTAGAGAGGCAGACGTGTGCGACCAACAAGTAAAGCCAGCATGCAAGCATCATGAATGGAGATGTGCCTGTGACACCACAGCTATGGGCTTCAGATTCTGCGACAGAGTCCTTGGGCAAGAATCGGCCGGTGAAGTAGTAGTTCGAATGGAGCAGCGGGCCTTTGAGGCGAGCATCGGAGCGGCGAGGCAGCTCCCCAAGAGGGCCAAGGCTTGCTACAGTAGCCCGCGCTCTGCAAGCTCTCAGCTCAGACGCAGGCCGAAGGCGATGACGAAGGTGCTGAGGATGAGCTGAGATGAGCAGGAGATGGGCACGAGTCCGGAAAGTGCTACTGTTACTGGTAATGCCACCAAGCCACACCCCAGATTAAGTACTCGCCAATGGGGCTGTGCATCCTGCACCTCGGTGTCCAGACCAGCCGGCTTGACCGAAGCGCAAGGACGTCTCTTGCATCAAGCCACATGTACTCCGCGAAGTCAAAGTGATCCTGCATCAGGCATACATGGGGATGCAACGAGGAGTCTCCACCCGATTGCACATGCCCACTCATGCAGTTGCCATCCTTCTTTCTTCGGGCTTGACTGCCCCATCCCGAAAACCACTCAAAGAGGCACACCCTGTCTCTTCCCTCCCGCGCGGGCGACCTCCAAGTTGTGCCCGAGACGCGGCAGCGAGCGGGTGACGAAGCTGCGTGGAGCAACCAATGCCATTGGGGCCTCTGCTCGCAGCTCGCATGGCGGTGCGCAAAACAGAGCCTCCAGGTTGCGTGGCGTAGCCTCTCACGGAGACTTTGTTGGGCACCGGACCGGAACCCGTAGCGGGGCTGTGCGCAGTCCCGCGGCCGGACGGAGCCCGACCTGGGCGATCCTGGAGAGAAGCGAACGCAACAGTCAGCAAAGCGTGAGCGAACGCCGCAGTGGACTTCTGCCGGCCTGGTGGCGCTTCGCAAGAGGCTCATGGCTTCTGCCTCGGAGCTTTACGAGAGCTGAAATGCCGTGGCCGTGGCGCTCTCTCGCGTCAAGTTTGCTTTTACAAACCATGACAGTTGCAAAATGCAGCACGATAGCACCCCTTCTTTTTGAGACAAGGGGCTTTGGACTTTCTGCGGGGCCGTCGTTGGAAAGCCGAGGGCTGCACGCTGTGAGCCCAGAATTGGTGAGCAGGCTGCCACATGAAGTGAGAGCGTTCGAATTAGGGATCAGGGAAAGTTGCAACTGCAGCGAGAATGAAAGAGACTCCTAGATTTCACATGTTTCTCGCCACGCCCTGATTACGATTCGACCTGGGCCCCACACTCTGTCGTGTGTCGTATGGGCACCTTGGGTTCGGATTCGATGGCATGTGCTTCCTCTGACTGCCAGCGTCCAGTGGAAGCGACGATGCAAAATAGCGAGCCAGTCACATGCAGGAAGTAGACACACTGATCAAGCTTCTGATGCGGTACGTTCATCTCTGCCGTGGCGCGAGCCAACGGAAAAGTCCAATGTGCCAGCAAATTGCTTAAAGTCTGAATGTGCTTGCACCACTCGGCTGAAGTCTGCGACCAAGGCACTACGATCACGCGGGGTCGCAGAAAGCGCAGCTCCCGGCACTGCATCCGCTCCTGCGATCATCACACAAAAATCCGAACGATGCTGCCGGCAAGCCCCAGGACCAGCATGCCGGAAGAAATCGGAAGTCTGCTGCTTGCCTGAATAACATGCGAACGCTATTAACAACATGCCTTATCCTTTGTAACCTTCACATTCGAAGTGCAAAGCTGGCTGTTCGGAACTCGACTCTGTGGCCAGAGGCCCTTGGACGTTTGACGCTCTTCCAGGATGTGCACAGGTCGCTCAAGCCGTCAGCGGCGCAACAAAGCACTCAAGCCAGAAAGCATGGCGTTCAGAAGCAAGACTGATCAACGGGAGAGGCCTCGTGTCCCATGCGTGAGATCAGCGCCAGTGTCCCGTCACCAAGCTGTGCAGGAGCAAAGACTCTCTCATTGAAAGAGAAAGAGCGACCTCTCGCTTCTGTTGAGAAGAGACATGCAAACTCATCTGACTGCACATCTAGCCTGCACGTCCACTGCAGTGTGGACAAGGAAGCCTCAATAGCAGCCAACTGTCAGGTCTCCGGGGTTTCCGGTGGAATCTGGCAAATATTGCAAACTCCAATTGCCGAACACATGCGAGGCAAAGAATACATAGACTCTGGACACCGACATTTACACGCACGCATGCACAGACTTGACGTGTTGTGCAAGGAGCTGAAGTTGGTAGACGGCATAATTCCCAAGAAGTGAGGGCCCTCAGCCACAATGTCCTCGATCACATCACCTGATGGGCGTTTGAAGGCACAAAGTTTTGCTTTCGACTTTGCTCGTGTAAGCAACTTCCACACTCAAATGCTCTTTTAAGCACAAATTCTCTAAACGATCCAGAATTTCTGCCGCGGTGCTCGTCACACCCGCGGACAGCTCGTGCCCATAGCGAGTGACCGGCACCACCATGAACCTGCGTGGGACCATGCTCGGCAACCCTGCATCTGTCTTTGTGACACAAGCATCACAAGCATCAGCTGCAGCATCGACGGCACTGTCGTCGGCAAATCCGGCCTTTCCGAACCGGCTGGCAGCATCGTCGAGATATGCGCGCGATATGCATCCTCAGCTGAAGCACATTCGGCACAGTAGGAATTCTAACGTGAGCGGTAGACTTAGACATTCGCAGACTCATCTGACTCGTCTGCCCTGCTGAGCATAGCGCTACTCGGCAGCAGGAGGTCTCCTCCTGGCACGGGAGACAGCATGTAGCACAAAAGCCTGCTGCATGGCTTGCCACATAGCTTGCTCGTTAACTCCGAAACTTCTTCTGATGCCTCCGGACGCTTGGGCACAATGGCGACGGGCTGTGGCATCAGCCGACGACGGAGGCTGTCGACGATGTAAACCTCAGAGCACCGGCTGGGGCACTGAGGTGACTTGTCGAGTTCTCCTGTGCACCAGTGACTAGTCTGTCTCTCATGCTTTTGCAATATGCCACTCCTTCGTTCAGGGATGACCTCGAGCCGGCTTCTGCGAAGTGCATCCAAGGTTCTCTGTACTCTGTGATAGGATCCTGTCGACGACAGATCTCACAGTCACATGCGCCATGCGCACAACATGCGACTCCAGACTTCATCAACGTCATCGTACCTATCTTTACGTTGGTGTTCTCCTGTCAACAAAGGACCTTTCCTACGCTCATCTGCGAGCAGGTACTTGCTGATTCATGAAATCCATTGTGCACTTGTGCATCTGTCTGCAGTCTACCGACTTCATGCCTCTCTTGATCAAACCCATGCACTGAAGGGGCGATTCTCGGTATGCCAGCTAATGCTCGGCATGGTTGCGTTGCTTGGGCAGAATGTCCTCGTTGATCTCTGTCCTGGTCGGAGTCGAGATCAGCTCAAATTTCGGACCGCAAGGCTGGTTCGGGAGGGATTCCCTCTTTCACTCTTGCAGCGAGCGCCTCTACTTCGACATGACAGATGCTGCCCAGTCACTCAACAGAGTTCTGGCCAAAGTACAGGTCAGCAAGGAAGTACCCTTCGCGCTCGTCCTGGCAGAAGTCCGTGCAGTGTTGCAGAAGACACCACTTACTCCACACTATCTGAGTCACGAAGCGCTTTGCTAGCATTCTTCTCATGCCCAGTGTGGGAGGCTTGTTGAGAACAAGCACAACCAAAGTGTCCAACCCTTCCGGACCTCGTCCTTCTCGGTCCGCCCCACCCCACAAACTCGGCAGCGCGTGGTGGGGAAGGGCTCTACGATGTCCGGGACGTAGGACCTCGGCAAGCATTCTGAAAATCTCAGAGCAGATCAGGGAAGAACACAACAGTTGCCTTGCAGCGGACTGTCACCAGCTAGCATACCAGGACCAGGCGGAAGTCAAGTGCAGGCGAGCAGCAAATCAACATTGTCTTGCGGGCAGCTCAAAGAAAACGTGGTTGTGTATTCCACGCAAGGATCTATCAATATATCTGGAACACACACCTCTCCTGCACCACAGCGCAAGAAGGCAAGCAGAGATCATTTCTGAGCGCTTGTCTGCAAAATGCCCTGCACAGAACATCGCAGAACAGGATGATGCAAGCGTTTCTGCGATCGCGAATAAAGGCTCTAAACGAACATGAAACTCTAGAACGGCTTCAACGATCTCAGGGCTGGTATAATCATTCGCGATGCCATCTTTTGCGTCGTTTTCTGAAGTAAACAAAACGGGAGGAGACGTTTGTTTCAGCCTTGTTTTCTGTTGCTCTTTCCCGCTTTTGTTGGTTTTGGGGGGGCGCCGGAAGGTGCGGGGTGGTGCAGCGGGGGTGGCGCGGGGAGGGGTTGGGGGCCTGGAACCCAACTCTTGACATACAACTGGGCTTCCATGCAATATACAGGTGGAACACGGATCATAAACCTACGATACCATATGGACATCAAATAACCTAGGTCAGATGAGATTTATCAGGTTAACGTTAGACTGTTCTACATTATACTGATACAAGCTCAATGTTGTTCTTATTGTTTGGATACATGAACGTTCACATATCTACATATATATATATATATACATATACACACACATGCAGATATATGTACATACAATGCTCTACACCACCACAAATCTAAGGGTACCTGTTACATGTTGTATGTTGCAGATTTGACCAACAAAAAGTCCAAAATTGCTTTTAACTGGATTTTTGTATATAGTGAATACTACTTGTTTCACATGAAATAACTATATGTTATGCAGAGTTCATTAGATATTCCACGTATGCAAAAGAATACAATATGACTTTTACTGTATATCATGTGATTTACATTTCATGATGAAGATTGCATTGTTACCGCCACTAACTATAGCTTTGATAACCGAATATTCAAGTGCAACCTATCTCATAAATTATACTAGATGTGTATATATATATAATACATAGAGAGAGAGAGAGAGAGAGTCTATGTGATGTAACCATAACCTTCCTACATATTACATGGGATGTTGCATGTTGTTAAATTCAGTATACTGAATATGACATAGTATAAGCTATAACTATATGATTTATACTACATACGTATACTACATTGTCTCGTTCAAATCCTGCCTGCATAGTATGCTGCTTCGGAATCCAGATGTAAGCAAAGAGTTGTGGCATTTGGTCAGTGGACGATGTGGACGTATAAGCTTAGAACCCCAAGCAAAGCATCTTTAACTTTAAGCCCAGTGGGTTAAGCCCCGTGATCCGCGAGGGGATGCACAAGAGTTGAAAGAGTGCATGAACTTGCTGATTGGACAGCAGACTCCAATTGTGGACACGCCCCCTTCGTACTCTTTCCCACCCCCGGCACCCCACCCATCACCCCAAGCAAAAAGAACTGCCAGAACAAAACAACTCTTCGAGCTTACCAGACTGTCAAGTACCCATGCGGCTGCGAGTCGTTCAGAAGCCGGCCCGAATCTGAACAACATTTATCGCGGGTCCTGGCATCATGTTTAAGCATCCAGAGATTGCATAGAGCGGGCAAGCCTCAGTTTGGTACATCACAGTATCTACGCCATATTCTGCCAACTGTGCAATCGATGCGAAACCAGTACATAAATCCCCAAGAAAATCAACACGTCTGGCGGCATGCGAAGCGTTATTGGATCAAGCGACATTTCCACAAGGCTGTGGCAACACTGTGGTAGTGGTCTGGCTGGTAGTGATACCTTACGGCATGGACAGGCCATGTGGGCAAAGATGCTCCTACCCTGCCCTTCCTCCGGAGTCTCTCTCACTCCAAATCGCAAAGTGCCTAATTGTGAGCAACATGCAACTGCCAAAGTATCTTTATTCATACATGCAAATGTGCACATGCATAGGCAGGCCTGCCTGCCTGCAGGCCTGCCTACCCACCACCTACCAACCTGCTTGGCTAACTGGCTACCTACCTAACTGCTTTCCTCGTTGTACCTGCCTACTGCTTCCCACCTACCTACCTACCTACCTACCCAGATCTTCCACCTTAACTGAGGAACATACCTCAAACTTTAACAAAACCCGTAGTATGACTCGAGGAGGCCTTTATTAAACGGGGATATTGGAATATGTGGGCACTTACGTACGTACTCACTCACACCACTCACTCACTCACCTACTTACATACCTACATACCTGCATACTAATATACTATCATATATACATACTGTGCACTAGCAACCTACGTCGATCCCACCGTCCACCCCTGCACCTCCTAGCACAAAGAGTGGGCAGACTGAGACGCATTGTTTTATCTGTGGCGGCAGATCCCTGTAGCCCGGAGATGCCTAGCTTCGAGCTAGCAAAACTCCAGGGAGGGTTGGGTGGGTACTCTGAAAATCTTCTACCCCCCAAAGGGGTTCTAGCCGTAACGGCGACGGATAGAACACATTTAGCGAAAACACCTTCGATGTTTTAGCTGTCGACACCTTCGATGTCGAAGGAGGAACTTCGGGTTGCTAGCACACACAGTTGTCCCTCGTCCCTCGTTACAAGAAGCGTGCACTAGCAACCTACGTCGATCCCACCGTCCACCCCTGCACCTCCTAGCACAAAGAGTGGGCAGACTGAGACGCATTGTTTTATCTGTGGCGGCAGATCCCTGTAGCCCGGAGATGCCTAGCTTCGAGCTAGCAAAACTCCTAGCAACGCCACTCGGGCTACCAGGGTTCTAGCTTCTTGGGCTTCTTTCTGAAACGCATCGGTTTCACCGACCTAGCTGCTTTCCGCTTCTTAACTTCGCCGAAAAAGCTTGCAGAGTGTTCTAGCAGCTTGCCCAAGACTCGCCACCGAAGTTCGCTGCCAACTAGCGGGACCCGGAACTCTGGAGAGAAGTGATCAAACTTCTCGTTCGTCAGGTCGTCTGCTAGCTGGTTCAGGTCACGGCGGACCCACTGTAGCTGGAGTTCGCAGTTTCTAGCTTCCAGCTCTTCTGCTAGCTCCATCAGGACTAGCCCCGAAGGAAACTTTGTGGTCATAAGCTTCTTTAGCAGAGCTTCGTTGGACTGGTTGTCCGTATAGCCTCTCAGAGCTACACGGGACAAGGTCCTAGCCCTGCCTTCTGGGATCCAAAGCCGAACTGCAACAAGGGTTGCCAGTAGCTCTAGAGCCGCGATGACCTTGTTGGGGTCACCTTTAGCGAAAGCCCAAGGTGCCCAATCAGCCTCCACTTCCAGCGAAAACCAAGGGCCCTGGCAGCCGGGAACTAGCTCCAAGAAACCCCCGATCCAGGCCCGGCCCGCCTCGGCCTTAGCGTCGGTGAAAAAGCTGAGCGGCGCCTCCGTAACTTCTAACGGGGTCGGCTGCTGTAGCCGGTCACCCTTCTCCAGGCGATCTGCTATCCAGCTACAGAGCACTCTTATCATGGTGGGCAACTTTAGCGGACCTTGGCAACCTTGCACCGCCGAGGACCAGGCATATAGCGGTCCGAGAAAGGGCTTCTCCCAATCTAGGGACATCGCCGCAAATCCCAGCCTGCCTAGGCCCTGCGCCATCTCCTTGGCCGAGACGTAGCCAGCTGTAACGGTGTTCCGTAGCCAGGAGACCAGCCAGCCTGCTCTCTTCGCCGAAAGCCCCAGGCGGTGGCTAGCGTACTCGGTCTCCATGCCTAGCCACTCCACCCGGAAGCCCCCTCTCGACTTTGCCCACTTGAAGGGGAAGCCCAGACTAGCGAAGTAAAGGTAGCTGAGCGGGATCCCCTGTCTCCCCTTTGGGCCACAGCCTAGCGACTCCAGGTCGTCCGCATATAGCAACATGTCTATCGGGTACTCTGGCCCCACTAGGTGGTGGACCAGTCTCAGGCCGCAGGCGGGCGATCCTTGACCACCAATAGCTCGCGCAGGAGAGGCCGAAGGTGCCTACCAGATTGACGTAGACAGTCTGTGTAGCGGGGTCCCCTGGGACCTCTTCCTGTAGGCTTATCTGGCATGCCAGATAGCCGTGCTCCTTGCTCTGGTGCTTGTAGCGGCGGTGGGCTTTAGCTATGTCGCCAACAACCGAAAAGGCCACCTTCTTCTCCGCTAGCATCTCCCGGAGCAACTGCTTCTTCTCCCGGGCTCCTGGAGCGCGTAGCTTATCACGACATTTGATGCGGTGATTGACTCTCACTCCATGAGTAGCATCATGGATGATGCGCTTCTTGTTAGCTGCCTCGTCCTCAACAATGACGGCTAGCGCAGCTATAGCTCTGTGGTCGCCGTACTTCTCGACAAACTCACCTAGAGTCATCTTTAGCATGAGGCCTTCGGCTACGTCCTCGTCGAACTTCTCCTTAGCAAAGGACTTGTGTTCGTCGACCGAGGTGTAGTTAGGGACCCACGCTAGCGAAGCCTCCCAGGGAGCATTCTCCAGCGGCCACTTTAGCTGCTCCTCATAGACGTGAGGCGTGCGAGGTAGCGGGTCGAGGATCCCCACAGGAAGTCCTGTCTCCGCTGCCAGGAGGAACTCTCTATCCGGGTCCCCCGCAGCTTCTAGCAGCGCTCGCATGAGTCGTAGATAGAGAGGCTGGCCCTCCGCCACTTCTAGCAGCTTCGGGTCTGTAAGGTCTTGGGCCTCTAGCCAAGCTTTCCAGACTTCCCTGAGCTCTGACTGTAGCTGAGGGTCCGACGCCAAAGAGCAAGCCGTAGCGCCTCCCGAAGCCATGCGGAAGGCCTCTTTCTCTAGCTCCTTCTCGGAGCCCAGCTTCCCAAGGACCACCTCCTTCATCCTGGTCCGTAGCCAGTCCCAGTTGTTGCCGCTAGCGAGGTTACGACGCTCCGGTGGCCAACGGCCAGGGGAACAAAGTCCCCCGCCGTCGTGGAAGTCCTTGTAGCCACCCACCTGCCAGCAGCGACGGGGTGGTCCGTGACCTCCTTGTAGCCTCGGGCCCTCCGGTTGGCAAACAGGAAAAGCCTCCGGAGTAGTGTTCGGGTGCTCCGTAGCGGGGGCCCCCAAAGTCTCGCCGCAAGCAGTCGAAGCTGAGGCCACCGTGTGGAGCACCAAGGCTGCTAGCCAGCTGCACATTTGTGGTGGCCAAGCCGCCGTACCTGTGGTAGCGAAAGCAGTCGAGGTCCTGCGCGCCAAGAGACCCGGCTCGCGGCTAGCAGCAGGCAAGGGACCAATGTAGTAGCCTTCGGCATCAAAGGCGGGCAGTGCTTCGTAGCAGCAGTTAGGCAGATGCAGAGGCGTCTTTAGCAACAGTCGAGTAGGCTTGCTGTAGCTTGTACCAAAGGAGCGTTGCTGAAAGGCCACCGTGCGGAAGCCTGCTGAAAGTAGCTCAGGAAACTGGGGCCATTGCCACATAGATGCGGGTCGCTGGCCTTTGTACGGCCCGGAGCCTAGCGCACCTAAGTCCTCTGGCTGCTCTAGCACGAAGGCTGAGGCAGCCCCCTGGGCTACTAGCTGAGCGACTTCAAAAGAAAAATCAGCAAAAATGTTGCCTAATATAGCTCGGTCCCTTTGGGCTGCCGTTAGCTGCGCGTTGCCTCTGGGACAGGCGTAGCTTCTGACCGGCACTGGCCCACGGAAGTTCGCCCAGGCTGCTCTGGAGAAAGTAGCGCAGGGTGGCGAAAGCAGAATTGCATTGAACTCTCTAGCTGCGACCCGCTGCAAGTAGGCAGTGCGAACCTTTTCTAGCGAAAGGTCATATCGCTTATCACGTAGGATGTCTACGCACTCGACAGAGACGTCCAGACCCATAGCAGTAGCAGTGTGGTGAAGACACGTAGCCATATCCCATGGGCGAACCTCGCCCGCAAAGAGGTAGAGGACCTTGTAGCTGTGCGGCGGGCTTCAGTTGGAGGGCTTGCCTCCGTCGCCTTTGGCGCCTCCCGAGTTGGGGGTAGCCACAGGACGGCCGCCGGCTTTGCACTGGTAGGCCGGATGCTTAGCAAAGCATAGCTGGCAAACATGCTTGAAGCGGCAAGCTTTCTTGTGCGGGCAGCCTTGCTTGCTATTGTAGCGAAAGCAAATTGCCTCGCCTTCCGGCGTGGTGGTAGCCCCATTAGCCACGCCTTTGCCCTTGCCGTCGCCCTTAGCGCCCTTGGTGCCCTTGCCTTTGCGTGGCTGCCGGATCCAAGGGCTATCGGGCGGGGGGGCCGGGCGTTTAGCGTGAAGGGCCAGCGGCGTTGTGAAGTGCCGCTCCTTGAGGGCCGCATCCTTGTAGCTTTGCTTCAAGGCTTCTGCGAAGGAGAGAGACTGCTGGGCCATGAGCTTGTAGCTGTGTTTGCGTATCGCGTGCTCGTAGCTGAGGACCAGATGCCACGGCGGCACCAGAGCACCGGAATCTTCACTAGATCGTAGCCCATAGCAAAAATCTCCCAGCAAGTATTCTTTATATTTTTCGAAGACAGCTTGCGTCACGTCCTTTAGCTCCGAGCGGGACGGGTGCTTTAGGCGGATCATGATCAAGGCATTGGCTAGCACTGTGAGGCGTAGCCGTAGCTGCTCTGGACCCGAGGGCATCGTTGTGCGAGACCCGCCTTTCCTTAGCGAGAGGGTGCCTTTAGCATCCCAGGCGGGCAGCAGGACCTCGGGGTCAACTTCGTCTCGGCTAAGCACTTCTGTCAGCGGCTCGGCTCGAAATTCCCCGGTCTCTAGCTCGTGCAACTTCTTCTCGATATATTCTTTAGCAGGAACGTGGCGGTCTTCAACTTCCCCAAACTGGGTAGCAAAGGCCTGTCGCATGGCGATGTAGTCCGTCTGTGGGATGGGT